ACCCCCCCCCCCCCCCCCAACTATGCATGCTTAGCTACGGCCCTGTGTCTGTTGCTTGTTAGCTGGTACTTTTGATTTTATTTAACCCTTTACTCTCCAAGATGGAATCAAACACTAAAATAAAATAATGTTACGCTATGCTATGCTATTTGTCTCGCAATTTTGTTGCGACACAAGTTGCACGCGAAATTCAAGTCTCGCAATATTATTGTTGCAACAGCCATTGCGCGAAATAGAATCTGGTTTTACTTTTTGCTACGATTGCGGCAACGCTGCAACGCATTTTTAAAGCATTGCACAGTGTGACATCTTTTTTGCATTTAGTCTCGCAATATTTATACACTGAATGGCTTCCTATTGGCTTTTGACTGTCAATCTAACTTTTATACTATATGATCATTGCAAGTTGCATGGGACATACTGCTTGGTGTAACATACCTGAAAATGCAACCTGAAATCGTCTTTCTTAACAATTGCAAGACAAGTTGCTTAGTGTCACAGCGAAATGAATGTTGAGCTGAACAGGGATCGATCCATAGTTTCCAAGCATACGACACTGTGTTGAATCCAGTATACTATCTTGACTGTTAGTTTTTCACCTGTACTAAAACCAACAGTCAAGATAGCTGCTGCACTCAACACGGTGTCGTATGCTTGGAAACTATGGATCGATCCCTGCTGAGCTCAACATTCATATTGGTGTTAGTTGACTATCATTAATTCCACCTCAGAGAGTTTGGGCAACTTTTCTCGCATTGTTAAGAAAGACGATTTCAGTTTCTTTTACAGTCCGACATCGCCACAACTAGACCACTTGCTCGTTGTTGGCAGCCACCGCAACATAAGTCACAAAATAACCTTTGTAGGACTTGAACCTCTCTCATCACCAAATTTTATTTTTAAAAAAATAAGTCGCCAAAAATTAAAGGCCTTAGCCTTTTCTTGATGAAAAAGTATAAAGTCCTTAATATTTTCTTGATAACAATTTAAGGTTCATGCACCCAGTTGTTTCAGCTCAGTAAACCTCAGAGTTTATTACGCATAAATTGACCTCTTGCGCAAAATAAATGGCTCGCTGGGAGGATCCATTTAGTACGTACGCAAAGAGAGAGAGGGGGGAGGGGGTATGATCGATGCGTACATTTGCGTACAGTGGGGGAGGGGGTTAAATCGTGTGCCCCCCTGGTATAAATGGCTCTATTATGACCATTACTTGGCCGTGAAGAGCGACGCAACCACGCAAATCGAAACGCAAATGAATTAATTGGTTATATCCCAAGTCGATTTTATCAAATGTTTGGTCAGTAAAGGCTAGTTTCCACTCAGGAAAATTATCCGTGGATTGGAACGCACAAGAACATTTTTCTTTGTCTTGCGAGCTCTGGGTTGGAACTAATGACTTTAACACAAAGAAAAATGTTCTTGTGGGTGGAAATTAACCTTAAGCACAGAATAAAGACGCATACACGTCGGAAGCTTTGAAGTTTCTGTCCTCACGCATGTCGCATTACGCATGTTGGCCGCTATTTTTCCTAGCCAGTCAATGACATTTTCTGGCCAATAAACATGCTGTACTGGCTGGCTACTCCGCCTTCTGACCAGTAAGGCCGGGTTTAGACGCCGTGCTTTTCATGAGCCGAACTTAATGCAAATGAGCTTAAACAAAGAACTTAGTTAATTAACATTAAGTTCGGCTCATGATAAGCACGGCGTCTAAACCGGGCCCAAACTGCATATTTTTGCATAAAACAACGAGGACACATTGCACCGCTGAGTGACCCTTCTGTTACCGCTCTTTATTCTGTGCCTTAAGTCTACGTGTTGGTTCCAGCAATTCGGTTTGACGGCATATGGCGTTTTTGGCATATCACGTTTTATAGACAATGCCACGCTGTTTTACGTTTAGTGCGTCACTCTTTTCCATTGGCCCTTTGTTTTGTCTGCGTTCACGAGTGAAAAACAAGTTTATAAAAGAACCCGGGGAGAATCACCAGCAAAATTTTGTTTTTTCTGGACTGTCAGGGAATTGAACTGCACACACTCAGAACATTCTATTTCAGAACCATCCTCAGAGATACGAAAAACCAGTTTCATATTTTTCTGACACTGCAATCGACAAACGAAAAATTCGTTGGCTCGAGCGCGATTTGAACCATCCAGTTATCCAATTTAAATGCACGAAATATTTTCGTGACGACTAACGCTAGTCTTCGTATCTTTGAGGGTGGTCCTGAAATAGAATTGAAACACTACGCGTCCTCTAAGACAAGCGTCAAGTTGGATAAGACTCGCTACCAATCCCGTTGACTCGATAGCTCAATGGGTAGAGCGGCGGTCTAGATACCCGAACACGCGAGTTCAAATCGGCATGCAAAATTTCATCACAGCTGTATGAATAGTTTCGGAATGGTATCAATTCTCCTTTTTGATTTTTAACGGTCAAAATTTTGTGAAAATTGTTATTCCGGCGACCAAAATTAAGCTTTTATTTCTCCGCGAGATTGTGAGCTACGCCAACCAAAATTTCAGGGCAAATAGCGAATATCTGCAACTATCTGCATGCCAAATTTCATCACAGCAGTATGAATAGTTTCGGAATGGGATCAATTCTGGTTTTTTTTTATATTTAGCGGCCCCCATAAGGTGGAAAACGCGGAGTCTCACTAAAAAATAAACTATGTTTTGACACATTTCTTTATTTAGAGAGCCAAACACGCAGATGCTGTATGTCTGTCTATGTCTCGTTTCGGCAATTCAGCACAGAGTATTACAGGCTTCTGTGATTTCAGTGTACTGAGTGTAGCCATCTATTATGTGGTGTAGCACCTTATACAGTTATACAGTCGCTGTAAAAATAATGAATATACCGCCTAAATAATAGCGGCACTTAATTGATGCCGGTAATGCATAACATGAACCTTATTCGTGTTTTGAGTATCCCCACATGGGGATACACATATCACTGTGACACCAGGGATAATAGGCAAAAGCAAGAATAGGTAAACTTACGGTACGACGTCACCGTGCCGACGTTAAGTCAGTAATTAGCATATCCGACATCCGGTCAGGGGCCGGCGTGTAAGAGAGGTTAAGATGTTCCGGTTTACGGGTACGAGTATCGCCATTTTGTTTACCAATTTTTGCTGATGTCAGCATTTTTACCCGTAATTTCTACCCGTTTCCCCGCGGTAAACATGGCATACACGTAAACGACAAATGGGTAGGGGTGTTTTCTGTTCATTATTTGTGGTCCATTTAAATAGTAAAAATTTTCAAAATCTTACCCAAATAAATAATGCACATATGCTTGTCAAAGTGTTCAACAAACTATGGCGGATCTCAACAGCGAAAGTTGCCATTCTCTAATCGGTTTTCTCACACCGGAATATCTTGGATTTCTTAAGTTACAAGTTATTCCCAGATTTACGGGTACGTGCATGTATATCACCCGTACTCGTAAACCGGGATATCTTAACCTCTCTATTATCAATGTTCTGGATCAATATTGAATTGATTGATTTGCACACATCACAAAAAAAAACACAGACAAAAGCATAGCAGAAGCGTAGATTTACCGCAAAACACTACACTACAGCAGATGGGTTTGTCAAGCACTTGTATCTTGTATTTGGTCGCAAATTTGTAAGTAGAATCGATCCAAGATAAAGACTCATGAGGTCACTTGTTTCGTAACGTGTATGCTCCATGTATACAGCTAATTCAATTAAGGTTGTCCTTCCAAAAGCTTAAACCTTAAACTCTGGGGGCACAAGGGACGATGGATTATTGCTTATTTAGACTCATAAACTTTAAATTTAGCTTTGCAAGAATACCTAAGACATATATAAGACTCACATCAGAAAACATACTTGCTGCAAAGGCAAGTTTCTGAGTTTAAGGTCTACTTGATGGTGAAAACCTATCATCGCTTGCGCGCTCAAAGTTTAGTGTTTAAGGTTTTGAAAAGATAACCTTAATTGAATCAGCTGGATGTGGAGTGAAAGTGCAGACAAAGATGGCGGAAATCAATATCCAGTGCCAGTCCCTTTCTAATAATATAATAAGTCATTCTCGTACCCAGAGCCCTTCTTACGCGCGGTACGACGAGGGGCTCTGGCCAAATCCATAACCGGATACCATAAAAACATGGTAAGAAAACAATGTCTGGTGTTAGAACTAGCCAATCAGATGCCAGTTCGGAATATGGATTTGGCCAGAGCCCTTCGTCGCACCGCGCTTACGAAGGGCTCTGGGTACGAGAATGTATAATAAGTTTGTCACGGTTACATGTTATTTATAGATCAACTATATGTTTATCATTATTACCGATCAACAACATGTTATTTATAGATCAACTTTAATATGTACAAATCAACTTTATGTTAACATTGACAATAGGCTGACAGTACAATAAGCTTACGAAGATAAGAAACAGGAGATAAGAAACAGGAGAAAGGAACAGGATTTTCGTCTCAATTGACACCTACATAACCCCTAAAAAGGTTACCACCGCAAGGATTATGCCAAAATTTCGTGTTTTGAATTCAATATATTAGAATTGAACCATGATTTTATGAACTGATAGCTTGATTAGCAATATAGTCAGTTAGAAAAACACTGGAATTAGCCTTTCTCACGCTGACAAATATCCGCCATTTTTTGGGTGGCATCTAATTCTCGTTAACCAATGCAGACAATTAAAACAATGTGAAAAGCAATTTTTCAAAATAAACTAACCATTTTCCAGGGTGCGATAATTCAATATTTTTAGCCGTACCTGGCTGGTACTCCGACAACTTTTGCCGCGTACCTGATCTGGTACAAACTTAAGAGTCAAGACGTACCTAAGACTACTTCCGAGCCATGCGTTTTTATACCTACATATACTTTACTGGTCCAAAAGCAAAAAATGTATGGGCAATTTTGTACAAGTGAATCTTTAATTATGGTATTTGTACAACATAATATAACAGTTTTCAAAGCGTCGACGTTGTGACTCGAATGCCATCGCCCATTTACATAAAATTATCGTTTGAGGATAACGATTTTAAAATCGCTCACCCGAGCGATTTTTTTTTCAGTCGGACGATGACGATAAATTTTTTGATCAAGCGCAAAGATAACCTTTTGGCTTTTTTCATCCCAAAATATGTCCGATGCGTGGAATTTACATGTACAGCTAAAGTTCTTCACGGTTTTGAATACTTTGGCAGGTTTCTAGTTATTGCTAGAAGGAAAATAAACAAAGAAGTACCAGACCATAAATTTGGCGTACCTCCGGTACGTTGGTACGCGAATTATCGCACCCTGCATTTTCAAAATAAACTAACCATTTACAAAGCAAATTTACCATCATTCATCCAAAAAATTATAAAAAGTTGTATCTCGCAGACTTCTGCTGAAATGCCACCCAAAAATGGCAGCGTGAGAAAGGCTAATTGGTTTCACATTTCTCATAGAATGACTGTTGTCGCTCCAGAATATATAGATCTCACCGACTAAACCTCACCACCGATAAGAACACCATCCGTCCGATCAAGGACATCACCGCCCAAGATATCTATATAACTCTAATGTCCTATTAACCCCCTCAGTCTGAACAGTTACTGGACGCCCTTCAAAATTACTCTACTTAGGAACAATAATTTTAGCCGATCTTTGGTCGGTATACCAGAATCGGAAATTGTCATAAAAGCTTGTAAAGCACTGCGAAGCTTTCTCTGTAAAAAACTATGAAAGTGTATAACCTCGAGTCTTGATAAGCTTAGATACATTTGAAGGCTGTTCTGAGTTTCCTCCGTGCATTGTATTGCACCTGAATAATTCAAAAGTTGCAATATATTGTTCATGGAGTCGAACCGTTTTTCTGAAGTTAGCTTGCTTCGTAATGGACATGAATCTGGAATGGAAGAAACAAGAGACAACTTATTTACACTCTACATTTAAGCCGACCTGTGAGCAAGGTCGTTACAAGTAACGAAATTGTGAGTAATCGTAAAAATGTAAATTTTTAGGTAACCGTAACGGTAACTATAGTGGCGTTTTGAACAGACTGTAACTAGTTTTTGTTACTTTTCTGACCAATGTTTACGTTTTTTTCGTTCATGTCACGTTTAAATATAGTACTTGCTATTTTATAATACTTTGTGTTTGTGGAAACACCACGCAAAGTTATTACTGCATTTGAAATTTAATTAAACGGTACGTCAACCACACCATTTCAAACGTAGTGAAGTGATTCTAATTAACGCGCGCGCATCCAAGACAAGAGAAATTATTAATATTTTGCACATTAATTAAAATTATAAAGAGAGCACGCCACGTACTATCTAGTGGATTTCCCTCCTGATCTATAGTATTGTGCTTCTCGATTTCAATTGGCTCTCTCATTTTGCGAGAGAACTTATGACTATCAATCGCCAAAATGGTTGCTTCGTCCATTTTATACGATGGTATGTTTAGGCGCAGCAAATTGATCTTGCTCAGCTTTCTCGCAATTCGTCTTAAAGAGTCCTGGTCAACCACAATGCAATGCGCGCTTTTGTTTACGTTTTTCTGTTACTTTTCTCAGTTGTTGCCGCCATTTTCGAGGCCACAAAAATGGCTGCTTCTGGCCAACAACGTAACAGAAACGTAAACAAACGCACGCATTGCATTGTGGTTGACCAGGACTCTGATTTCGACCAATTTCAGCAATGTAAACCAGACCACATTCACAAGGAATGCGGTACACACCAAGTTCCCGAGATTCATTTACGTTGTCCGTATGTGTACAAAGAGCTCGAAACAATTTGTTTTCACTGTTACGGTAACCTTCATGCCACCTTCGTTCTTCGTTTTTTTGTGAAGCCGGACCACTGTATGGTAGACAAACAGAGGACTGATGTTCAATCTTCTGCTGTACACTTTGTGGTGGTTGCATATCTATGAAATGCCGGGATAACCATTCATTTTTTTTATGCAGACAGATTAAGTACGTGGAAGACAATATGTCCTTCTTGTAGGTCTATTGGCAGCCCTTCCTGTTGTAGTTAATAAGCGGTGAAGGTGTATTACTGCAGGGTAACATTGTAAGGTAACACTGACGATGAATTAGAACATTAAAGAAATGTTCTAAAAATGAATGGTTATCCCCGGCATTTCACAGATAATGCTATGCAACCACCACAAAATGTACAGCAGAAGATTGAGTATCAGTGCTCTGTTTGTCTACCATACATTGGTCCGGCTTCACACAAAATCGAGAGGATTTTGAAGAAAAAAGCAGGTATAAAGGTATACCATTCCAGTAAAAACAAATTGTTTCGAGCTCTTTGCACACATAAGGACAACGTGAATGAATCTTAGGAGCCTGGTGTGTACCGCATTCCTTGTGAATGTGCTCTGGTTTACATTGCTGAAACTGGTCGAAATCTTTCAAGGAACATAAGACGAATTGCGAGAATGCCGAGCAAGATAAATCTGCTGTGGCTAAACATACTTGGACTTACGACCATCGTATAAAATGGGACGAAGCAACCATTTTAGCGATTGATAATCATAAGTTTAATTGAATTATCTGTCAATGTAATTATTAAAACCTGCAGATACATCTTTACTTTAAACAAGTTACAAAAATATAAAAAAGTAACTTTTAATTACAAGAATCGTGAAGTAACTTTGTAACGGTAACTAGTTGTATTTTTATGTGTAACTTTAACCAATAACTATGGTCAGTTTTTTTTAGCATGTAACTGTAACTAGTAGTTCCAAAACATAAGTAACTTTTACAGAACTGAATTTAGGTACATTTTTCTCCGATAAATACACAGCCCTAACCCTAATACAAGGCACTTTTACCTGGTTTCATCAGAACATGCAGTTTGCTGTAGATATCAGTATTTCTAAACAGATGTCGCCATATTTCACAAATCTGTACGAAGTGTTGTTGGGTGAGGGTTACTTCAGCTGCGGTGGTCCAACGTTCTTGGTGGTCGAACAATGAGGCCAAAAGACTGGTAAACGACGTAAATATTTCTGCATTCCACATCTCTAAACTATCAGAAGACTGAACAGTTAGAGATACAGACAAAGGTTTGAATTATCTTACAGCTCAATGACGTAATTGTTTACAAAATAGTATCAAATTATTATATTTACAATATCAAAGTATATAAAATGTAATATCCAAACATTTTACATTCATTATCTATAATTAAATTTATTACACAAGGCAAAGAAATAACGAAAAACTGCAGTTGTCATACAGTATTTTAATAAAACACAAAACAATAGACATTCCGAAAGTTGTAAACATTTTCATTCTTTACGTTTCGACTATTAACTATTTAAGTCATCTTCTCTTCTTCTCAAGATAAACGAGTTTTTCGCTTTATTAGTGTAAGTAAAAGAAATGTTGAATTCTTTTATTGTGTTACGTTATTACTTGAATCTCTCAATTCACATTTCTCTGAGTATTTTCTATAGTCTTTCGAAACATCTTTTTGTTCGCGTTTATGCAGTTCTGTGCACGGTCAATGAACACGTTGTATTTCAGCAGAATGAACGAATCATCCAATAGCAACGATTCAGTTCAGTCATTCAACCATGTCATTTAAATATTAAAGGGGCAATGTCACCGATTTTTGACCTAAAATGCCTAAAAACTGAACTACAAACGTAAATGGATTAAGTTATGGCATATGAGTCATATTAAACAACTTTGAACTTCCACGCAACATGTAACATAACTTTTTCATAAAAATTAGCTAAAACTTGAAAAAGTGTCTGCCAACATTAATCAAGATTCCATTTACAATCCATCTCAATCCTGGCGTAATCTTGCCCATCCAGACTTCTGTACATGTTTTTTGTGTCTGTTATTGCTTTATTTTGTGCTTACACTCATTCTTTTTCAGTTTTGGGCAAAATTTGCGAGGGTTGGAATTGCTCAAAAATCGGTGACATTGCCCCTTTAATAAACCTAAAACAAAGGTTGTGCACGGTGTAAGGTGCGACTCAACATAAAATCCCAGCTCATTAAAACCGCTTTGAAGTTCACTGAGTTTCCAGACCATGTCTCGAAAGACTATGAACAATCTCGTTAATATCTATAACCTCTACATGTATATACATAGTACAAAGTTACCTTATCCTTGACTGTAAAACACTTAGCAAAACCAGCAGCAATTCAGAGCAGACATTCCTGGGGACAGATGATCGATGGGTTGTGACATTGTCATTGCTGTTCTTCTCACCACATGATCTGGTTTGACCAATCAACGTGAACCACAATGTTGTTAATATATCCACAATCTGACAAAAGTTGTCTGAGATATTGCTGGTCAAACAAAAGTAAATAAAATAATTGAGTATGGAACTCAGTATAACTAGGGATCCAAGGATAGTGTAAAGTTTCAAATTGAAAAATATACTGCAAGAACTATATATAGGGTCGCCGACAACCTAGAAAAGCTGATGGCTTACACTACGAAATAAATAGTTACCATAGGCATTTCATCTCATTAGGGGCGGACCATTAGAAAAGTGATGGGGGGGAAGCAAAAATAAAGATCGAGCAGGGAAAACAGAAAGGAAAAAAATTCGTGCACCAAAAAGTTTGAAAAAAATTCGTGCAGAGACTTTTCAATAGGGAAAATTATAATTATAGGGAAAGTTAAAATTAAAAAAAAATCGTGCAAGGGATTATATTTCAAAAAATTATCGACACAAGCAAACATTTAAAAAAATATTCGTACCACACCACCCTCCCCATCACTTTTCTAATGGTTCGCCCCTCTGTTTTTTTAATGCGTTCGGCACATGAGTAGCGCAAAGCCCAACACATCAAAAACATCGTGCCTCGCGGAACTGATACAATTTATTTATTTATTGTGACGCTATTGCTACACGGGACAATTCGAAATTTAAATTGTTTCACCAACAACCAAATTTTGCATATTCTAAAACTTCATTTGCATTGGAAGCTGTCGCTAAAAGTATCCCCACGAGGCTACTGATATGCTAAACTTATTTAAAACTATTATTAATATTCCCATCTTTTAGCGCCCATATTGCACATTTGACTATTGTCTCAGTGACAACTTTAATTGAAAGAGCTGCATAAGATACGTTAAAATTTCACTCTCTTCAGTAATTTTAATCAAAATCACTAATGTTGGCACAGCTGGAGGTTAAGGAAATTAATTCCAGCACTTTCAAGGACTTCTACTGATGTTCAAGGACTTTCTAGTCCTGAAATTATTTTCTTCCAATTCAAGGACTTTCCAGGATTTTCAAGGCCCGTGGACACCCTGTATATAGAGTAGGGTTTTTAGATTTAGTGACGGGTTTTTGTCTCTGCGCAGCAGATATATCGTCGTCGTGTCTTACAACACTAGCCAATCGAGAGCCAATCGAGAGCCAATCAGCGACTCAGCCAATCAGCGACTCAGAACTAGCCAATCGATAGCCAACCAACGACAGCCAATCAGCGACTCAGAAAATTATGTCACTATTTCATTTAACGAATACATAATTTATTTGGAATTCAAAATAGCCGCCTTCGATGGAGTGAATATATGTTTTCATATACGAAATTTAGGTGTCTATACTGTTGGAAGTGTACATAAAAATCCTTGTATTTCCACGTTTTACTTTGCCACATAACAGTATTTTTTCGACTACAATGAATATAAGCTTATGATGACTGTGTATGGTACGTATACTCTGTAATAATGCCTTGCGTCGTGTCGAAGACACACATGTCCATTACCTATTATGCAACAATCATTCAATTCAACAACAACAACAACAACAACAACAACAACAACAACAACAACAACAACAACAACAACAACAACAACAACAACAACAACAACAACAACAACAACAACAACAACAACAACAAACAACAACAACAACAACAACAACAACAACAACAAACAACAACAACAACAACAACAACAACAACAACAACAACAACAACAACAACAACAACAACAACAACAACAACAACAACAACAACAACAACGACGACGACTAGAAACTGTCAACATTTTGCGCAGATACATGTACGCCTAGCGTACCTATTTTTGTAGATGGAATTTCCCACTACGAAAGCGCTTCAACTGTTAGTTCTATCGAGCAAGAAATGAACTTCACCTGTTTGCGCTAATTAATAAATGTAACCACGGAACAAGGCCATAGTTTTGACACAGATCATAGACTGCTGCATGATGTCGACAAACCACATGGAGAATTTTCAATGTTAGCTTCTAAAATGATGAAATGAAATAGATTTTGCAATAACCTACAACGTGGCCGTGGGATCAATCGTGCAGTCTGTGTCGGTATTTGTATTAGCATTTCACAAGACAATTAGCATACCATAGAATATGTAATTATGTATAAAGGGCTGTCTCATGATTAAGCCAGCATCATTTGGAATGCATACTTGTACGAAGATAGACCGGTTTTACTGTTAGATATATCTTAATAAAAGATTCATATAAACCACGACGTTACATGGTGTCAGGAGTGGGATCTCCTTCATCAAAGCTTTAGTCAAGCTTTAAGCTTTTGACGAGGGAAATATAATTGAATTGAAGTAAACAGAAACAAGTGAAGCGAAACCGTCGAAATATGTCAACTGCAGACAAGAATAGCGACGAGTGTAAAATGGCAGATATAAACTTTCAAGCCAGACTATCGCCACCGTCAAGACTCGAACTAACTGGTAACCTAGCTGTGAACTGGAAGAGGTTTCAGAGATCGTGGAAGAACTACGAAATCGGATCACGACTAAAAGAATTAAGTTTGGAGATGCGAACGGCAACGCTATTAACATGTATTGGACCGGACGCTTTAGATATACTCGAGGGACTCGATTTCGAAGAGGAGTCACAAAGAAATAACATTGACATTGTCATGGAAAAGCTCGAAGAATATTGTGTGGGCGAAACGAACGAGATATACGAACGATATTGCTTTAACAAGCGGGATCAGGAAATTAACGAAACAGTTGAACTCTACGTTACGGTCCTTCGAAAGTTGGCAAAGACATGCAATTTTGGGACTCTTGAAAACAGTTTGATAAGAGACCGACTCGTTGTGGGCATTCGGGACAATAATATACGAAAAAGATTGCTTCAAGTTTCAAAGTTAACCCTGAAAGATGCCATTGACATATGCAGATCATACGAAAGTACGTGTCTGCAGCTGAAAGCGATGTCACAAGAAGCAGAAGTTCATAAAGTTGACAAAGCGAAGCCTGGTTTCGAGCGATCTCTGAAACGAGTTGGAGGTGAGGTAAGCCGTAAAGTTATAACATGTAAATTCTGTGGGAAGTCTCACCCAATGAACAAACTTATGTGCCCAGCATGGGGAAAAAACTGCAACGCATGTGGCAGAAAGAATCATTTTGCTGTGATGTGTAGTGTAAAGCCACGGGAAAGGCGGGAATCTCTAAAGTGGGTCGAAGACGTAAATTCTGATGAATATATTGCATGTGTTGAATTAAAAGAAAGTGTGTGCGCTGTTGAGGTCAGCCAAAACAAAGATAAAGTGTTTGCTACAATGTTGTTGAATGACAGACATATTCGTTTTCAGCTAGATAGTGGGGCAACTGTTAATGTAATTTCCCAGAATGACTACAGTGAAGCGTATGGCAAGGAGAGCCTATTGAGTTTAGAAACTACGAACGCAACTTTAGTAATGTACAATAAGAGTGAAGAGAAGCCGTTAGGAAAGAAACGGGTGAGAGTGGTAAACCCCAAGAATGGAAAGAAGTACAGTGTTGAGTTTGTTGTGGTAAAAGGGAGTTGTACCTCACTCCTTGGTGCTAGAGCAAGCCAGCAGATGGGTCTTTTGTCAGTCAATAGAAACAATATTCTAGCGATAGAAACTCAAAGTGCTGAGAAAGTCGAAAGCATCACGAGTTTACACCACAACATGGGTTTACGATACAACGCGGTGATGTCAAAAGAAAGTATGTTGGGAGAGTTTTCCGATGTTTTCGCTGGAGAAGGAAAGCTAGAGGGAGAGTTGCATCTCGAAATCGACCCATCCGTAACACCAGTGCAACTACCTACGAGAAGAGTACCACTGGCAGTCAAGGAAAAGTTAAAGACGGAGTTATCTCGTCTGGAGAAGCTTGGTGTCATTAAAGCAGTAGATGTTCCAACAGATTGGATCTCAGCAATGGTGGTGACAATGAAGAAGGACGGACGAATCAGAGTGTGCGTTGACCCAAAACCACTGAATCGAGCACTGAAAAGAAACCATTACCCGTTACCAACCATAGAAGATGTGCTACCACAGCTGGCCAAAGTAAAGTTTTTTACAGTGTTAGATGCCAAGAATGGGTTCTGGCATGTCTCTCTGGATGAAGTGAGCAGTTATGCTACCACATTTGGAACACCGTGGGGACGATATAGATGGTTACGAATGCCATTTGGTATCGCACCAGCTCCGGAGGAGTTCCAGAGAAGAATCGATCAAGCTCTTGTAGGATTGAAAGGATGCAATACCATCGCTGATGATATCCTCGTATTTGGATGTGGAGAGACATCGGAAGAAGCATTGGAAGATCACGATTTCAATCTTCGAAATGTTCTGGAGCGGTGCCGAGAGAAAGCAATAAAGTTGAATGGCGCCAAAGTACAATTCAGGTGTGAAGAAGTGTCATACATGGGACACACATTAACCAAAGATGGCTTGAAACCAGATGCAAGCAAAGTTAAAGCAGTGGAGGAAATGCCACCACCAACTGATAAAAAGGGGGTACAACGTCTGTTGGGAATGACCAACTATCTGCAGAGATATGCCCCAAAGCTGGCAGAAGTTACAAATCCTCTGCGCGAGCTGACGAAGAAAGAGAGCGACTTCATTTGGGAAGAATCTGTTCATGGCCGAGCACTGGCGGAGACAAAAAGAATGTTGACAACGGTACCAGTTCTGAAATATTTTGATCCAACGATGATGCCAGTCCTACAATGCGATGCTTCAATGCATGGGCTTGGTGTTTGCTTGATGCAAGACGGACAGCCTCTTCCGATCTATATGCTTCTCGATCGCTGACCGACACTGAAGTCAATTATGCTCAGATTGAAAAAGAGCTTTTAGCCATTGTTTACGGCATGGAAAAGTTCGAGACGTACGTATACGGTCGAAAGGTGTTGGTCGAATCGGATCATAAACCGTTGGAAACGATATTCAAGAAAAGTCTTCTGTCTGCCCCCAAACGTCTTCAGCGAATGTTGTTAAGGCTTCAAAGATACGAGTTCGACGTCACGTACGTGAAAGGAACGCAACTTATCATGGCGGATGCATTGAGTAGGGCTTTTCTCTCGCATCCAGAAATAATGCGTGATGGGGAGCAGGGTCCGCAAGTACTCGCAGTTGACGATGTCGTAGTCGAAGATGTTAGATCTCCCACTGAGATTGCAACCGAACAGGTCAACATGCTTCAGTATCTGCCTGTCAAAGAAGAAACCCTTCAGAGAATTAAAACAAGTACACGTGAAGACCCCGAGCTTAAGATTCTGGAGCAAGTGATCAAGCAAGGTTGGCCGGAGTCAAAGAAGGAAGTTCCAGCACAGGCTTTGAAGTATGTAGCTTTCCGAGAAGAGTTAACAGCGCAAGATGGAATCATTTTCAAGGGAGAACGTGTGGTCGTACCTCGATCCTTGCGTAAAGAGTTCACAACGAAGGTCCACGTTAGTCACCTGGGGATTCAAGCATGTCTCAGACGAGCTCGGGAAGTATGGTATTGGCCAAACATGAATAAAGAGATTACAGAGTACATTTCAAAATGTCAGACATGCAAGACATACTCTCAAGAGCAACAGAAAGAACCCATGATTCCATATCCAGTACCTTCTAGACCGTGGCAAGTGATTGGAACTGATCTGTTTGAATTCCAAGGAAGAAACTATCTTGTCACCACAGATTACTATTCAAATTTCTTTGAAGTTGATAGATTGTATAATACAACATCAAAAGAAGTTATTTGTAGATTGAAGGCTCACCTAGCCAGGCACGGTATACCAGACAGAATGGTAAGTGACAATGGACCTCAGTTTACCTCGGAAGAATTCAGACAATTCGCCGATGCTTATGAGTTTCAACATGGTACGAGTTCGCCTGATTATCCACAGTCGAATGGAAAGTCTGAGAACGCTGTAAAAACTGCAAAACGAATAATGGAGAAGGCGTTGGCAGTTGGAGCAGATCCCTACCTAGGATTCCTGGATTTCCGAAATACTCCAACTGAAGGTTTGGATACGTCACCGGTGCAGCGTCTGTTTGGTCGTCGGACAAAAACACTCCTACCCACATCCAGTAGATTACTGTCGATGAGAAAGGACGATTCGAGTACGGAGCGAAAGTTGAACGATAGGAAAAGAAAACAAATGTTTTACTATAACAAAGCGTCGAAGAGTTTAAAGCCGTTAAAGGAAGGAGATACAGTGTTCGTGAGACCGGCGAGGAGATCGAAAGAGTGGAAGCGAGCTACTGTCAACAAAGCAGTGGGAATTAGGTCATATGGGGTAACTACGGAGCAGAGAAGCAAGATAAGAAGAAATCGGAGACATCTGCGTTTAGCCAGCAATGAACAGTCTCCGTCAAATACAGTTAGTGCGAAAGATATCGGGGTGTACGTAGATCCGCCTAGACCATTGATAACGGACAGTAATCAGAGAGATCAGCCTGATGTCGGAGAAACGAGAACAACGATGGACAATTCAAGACCATTGACAACCGACAGTAATCAGATAGACCAGCCTGATGTCGGAGAAACGAGAACAGAGATTGATGATTCAAACGACAGTACCCGGGTATCCCAGTCTAGGAACATGCAGTCCCCCATACGGTATAGTTCGAGAGGGCGTGTTTTAAGAAAACCTGTTTACTTAAAGGATTATGACTACTAAAAGACAGATGAACTTTTAATTAAATTAGTGACTGTTTACTATTAAAATTTAGTAATTAGAACTTGACAATAACTTGTTGGTGGACTTTAAGAAATTTAGCTATCCAATTGTTAGCACAAAAAAAAATATAGAGTAAAGTGTAGTTAGGATTTAATTATAGGATTTATTAATTAACGATATAGTTAATATTGTGTAAAAGAACGGAGATGTGTCGGTATTTGTATTAGCATTTCACAAGACAATTAGCATACCATAGAATATGTAATTATGTATAAAGGGCTGTCTCATGATTAAGTCAGCATCATTTGGAATGCTTACTTGTACGAAGATAGACCGGTTTTACTGTTAGATATATCTTAATAAAACATTCTTATAAACCACGACGTCACATTTGTGGGCGTGGGTTCGAATCCCACACCTGACACCATGTAACGTCGTGGTTTATAAGAATGTTTTATTAAGATATATCTAACAGTAAAACCGGTCTATCTTCGTACAAGTATGCATTCCAAATGATGCTGGCTTAATCATGAGACAGCCCTTTATACATAATTACATATTCTATGGTATGCTAATTGTCTTGTGAAATGCTAATACAAATACCGACACAGCTTAATCCCAGATCCATGCATGTGCAGAATTGTGGTCCATAGATTATATTGACCTAATTCCTGAAGCCCAACGCGTGTATTATCACCTGGGGGGAGGCAGCATGGGCATCGTCGTAACCAAAATCCAAAAGGAAAATACCTAACAACATATATCCGGACTTTTTGGCATCTCATTCGACTGAATGTTGGAGGAATTTCATATTATAATAACGAAAGTATATTCATGAGGTTTGAAATAATCTGTGTATTTAAATTTTAAAACATGTTAAAACATCCAATAAAACATATTAAGAAAAATAGGTACGCAATGCGTACATGTGGCTAGCCTGGTAAACTTTAACTCCCCAAACCCTCCTCCAAACCCAGAAAGCCTGCCATGCTGGTTAACTTTAAATTTAATAGTAATAAGAAGACACACCACGATGGTCGGAATGCGCAAATTTTCTGCCACTTGTGCAGGCTCATTTTGTCAGTTGAGTTTCACGGTACACTTGAAAAATACCGTGTCATATCTCGTCTCTTCCCATGTAAATAGCGAATCATGAATAACACTTGAATAAACACAAATATGTCAATTTGCGCGCTAGGCTTTTGAATATAACGATTGTAAAAAGTTTCCGTGTGATCTATTAGCAATTTAAAAGATATAATGCAATATTACTAAACTGTAATACTGCCATATTTATTTAATCTCGCGTTTGTTATTTGCGCAACAGCAGTTTTGCCATGGAATTAAAATTGCGTGTCATATGATATTTTAATAGGCAAATAGCGTTTGAGATATAGCAATATTAGCAAACAAACACACTGAAATATTGGTTAGCACACCAACGTTTGCCACTTTTAATGCAATATTAGTCAACTTATAAGAGAACGTGAGACAAATCATGCTGAATTATTCGACTATATAACTCCTAAGACAGACGCAATAACCTTTATAGGTTTATTACAAATATGTAGATAAACTGTAATACTGCCATATTTATTTAATCTCGCGTTTGTTATTTGCGCAACAGCAGTTTTGCCGTGGAATTAAAATTGCGTGTCATATGATATTTTAATAGGCAAATAGCGTTTGAGATATAGGCCTAGCAATATTAGCAAACAAACACACTGAAATCTTGGTTAGCACACCAACGTTTGCCACTTTTAATGCAATATTAGTCAACTTATAAGAGAACGTGAGACAAATCATGCTGAATTATTCGACTATATAACTCCTAAGACAGACGCAATAACCTTTATAGGTTTATTACAAATATGTAGACATTTGAGACGCCGTCAATGTCTGAAGAAAGGTATACTTAAAGCCTTTAAATAAACGAGTTCGATGTTACGATGTACAGTTTCTGGTCTTTTACCATAATTATCCAATGCTGGTTTTATTCGCTGCATTATAAACGTACCTCCTCCAAACAATACCCCTTCTTTAAAATACCAAACATTTCGAATGCAATTGAGATATGAAATCTCAACAAGAAGACAATTCAAGATGGCAAATGGCCCGCAAATCAGTCAAAAGTGCAAATCAAAACCCATATTTACACGGCGAGTACGCGCAATTTCTGATCGGTTTCGTCACCATAGGTTGAAGCCATGAAGATAAACTTTATTTTAATTTTCTGGTTTAACAACCTCACCAGTACTGCGTCGTAACAAACTAACAACATCACTAGTATTGCCTCGAAATGCAAATGTGAAATGTCGGCAGAAAAATACGGGCGCTTCCGATTGCTCCCGATACTTTACGAAAATCCGGACTGGACACCATGATCATCATCGCTCATCGCGTTTGTGTAGTGTGTACTATGTGATAATGGCTAGCCCGCAAACGGGCTAGCCACAAAAACCATGCACGTTTCAAAAAGACAAGCGTTAAGCCTGGTTTCGATATGGTCGTAACAATCGTAAAGATTGAGTCACGATCTTTCTCATCAGCCGAAATACAACATTTGAGAACTGAAAATACGCGGAGTGATTATAACTATAGAGTATAATTATGATTTATATATGTGGTTTACAGGTATAAACTATTATAAGCTGGCCGTCGAGAAAGATCGTGACTCTATTTTTACAACCATTACGACCATATGGAAACCAGGCTTTACTGGATTTCTATTACTCACTTTGTTTTGAATTTGCAATACAGACTACAGCAACGTTCATGTGGTGACTTTCTTCGGGGCTGTGTGTGATTTGTAATTGTGTGTGTAAAATTGTCTTTGTGTAGTATTAGCATTTTCATCCCAGGAAATTATATTTCTGGCCCGGGAAGTCTCAGATAATTAGTTATAAGGTAATTCTGAATTTTGACTGTGCATCCAAATGACGTTGCCGGGATAAACTGCAGTTGAGTCATAACATGTAGCTGAGACTGGAAGCATATATATGTATGCCAAAGTATTGGACCGTTCAATCATTATTTGTCAATAACCCATTACTGTAAGAAGGGAGCACTGGCACTCATACTTTGTCTTGCGTGTAAAACAAGACAAAGAACCATACACTTACATAATTTGAACCCCCACCCTTCCACAAGGGGGGAGGAGAAAAAAACAATCTCAAATAGACAAAAAAGGGAGATGAAAACCGTTTGGTAATAATAATTTAATTCGCCACCAACACCATTTACTTAATTCAAGAACATAACTGGGGTTACTGAAAAGGGGTGGGTTGGTTTATAAAACGGGGTATATGAGCAAAAAACTGTCATGACAATTAACCCATCAAATTTCGCTCTCTGAAACAGTTGTCATAAAAGGGCAATTTGAAAAATTTTGGAAAGGGGGGTGGGTGCGGGCATTGGTACAAGGGCAGATATAATCTAAAAATGGGGATAAAACCCTTTCTGTTACAGTACTTTTACTAAAACCCTTTCTGTTACAGTACTTTTACTTAAAGGGATACAGTACTTTTCTAATTTAAAGCAAAACAACCATGCAGAAACAAATTGTTTTCTGAGCAACTTTTTGCATATAATGTATGTATTCAAATGATGATTGAACAGTTGAATACTTTCATATGCACACTGTATTCGAATTTTGGCAGTCTCGGCTACATGTTATATTTTAACTGCAATTTATCCCAATGCAGAATATGTCATTTGGATGTGCAGTCAACACTCGGTATTGGCTTATTTAATTGCTGGCACTGGGCTATTCCATTTAAAATACATACTGCTGTCTGCATCCCCTCCCCCATTGACTGGATTAACCCCTAAAGACTTCAGCGTTTGCCCCTGAAGAATTTCAAATGAGGAAATTGCATTGAAATGGCAATATATAGAAAATAAAATATCAACATTGGACATAAAATCTGTCAAAATTGTGATGGTGACATTCATCCCATCCTGACAGGGCCCCTTCATATTTTCTCATAATAACTATAAGCACTTCAGTATAGAAGACTCAAAACTTAAGTGGAACGGTGACCTTGAACCGCTTAAGTGTTTTATTGCGAACGAATTTAACCTATCTGGAAAATGGTCTTCCCCTGGCGGCGAGGTGAAGCTGTTTACGAACGAGAATGAAGTTTCCAGTGAGGATGAGATTGTCAAAATTAAATGGTACCAGAGTAAGAAAACCTTGTTGTTTGAAGGATCTAGAGCTAAGCATATGGAACAGGATATCTACAGGATAAAACAATCAAACTCAAGCTTCAAGGAGGGAGAAACGTGCAACAGGTTTGATACTTCAAATTCAAATTTGCATAATAACGATAAATTTGTTGAAGCGATTAATGACTTCAAGCTTCAAATTCAACAGCTTAAGGGTGTTATGGAACAAAACAAAACTGCCATAGCTAACCTTGAAACCGTATGTCAATCCTCATCGAATAATACTGCATATATTGAACTACACACACTTAGAAAAGAATACGAACTTATTTGCTCTGAAAATGCAATTCTTAAGAAAGAAAACGCCGAATACCTTGAACGCATGAACAACTTAGTCTATATTACCTCTGATTTAAATACAAAAATTAAAATATTTGAAGAGGAGAAGGCTAGCTTAGTAACCTCAGTGCGTCTCGTAAATGAGGACAAACGGCAATTAATAATTGAAGCTAAGCGCTTAGGAAATGTTTACGAACCGGAACCGTCCTCTGAAGTCTCAAACCAAACAACGCATTGCGAAAGCACACAAAATGAAAACCCCATCGGTAATAAAGGTCAAAATATGCGAACGATTGATAAATTGCATACTACGAACAATGGGATTATTCCAATCAAGGTGAACAATGGGGGTGAGTGCAATGTAAACGAGGGCGAGACTAATGACCCTGTTATCCTGGTAAACCTCATTGAAACTGATAATGCAATCCAAAGCATAAGCATGGTAATAATCCCATTGTGTCAGCAGAAGTTGCAACCTCTATTAAATACGATAATAAACAAGTAAGAAACAACAATCAACCCACTTTTGCGGAGGTAGTGACATCTAGCCCTGCATTTAATACCTGCAACACACTTGAAAAATCTCCTACCAACAAATCCCAAAACAATTCTCTGCAAATAATCAATGATCCATCTAGTGACTTTGCTGACGGGTTTATTGGTGTTGACCGGAGACGTAACAGAGTTAAGAAATTCCTGTTAAGCGGGATAGCTGAAAACGTAAAAGAATGTCAAATTGTTTCCTATCTGAAACAACGGAATATAACACCTACATATATTTCCGTTTTTCCAAGCAAAAGAAAAGGTACGACATCGGCTAAAATCCATTTTCGTTCGGCCGATTGTTCGTTAGTGCAACAACAAAATTTCTGGCCTCAGTTTGTCAACTGCAAGATTTGGCAATCAAAAGGAGAAATTAGATCTAATATTACCCATAACGGGAAGTTCTCAACTTATGTATAATGGAGCAAATAGAAGTCAGAGTTTCGTCACGTAATTTTGGTTGCCGTGTGAGGCAAAGAAGGCGTACAGAAACGCGAGGTGTCAATTATAACAATCTAACGCGTATTAGATGCACAAATAATTATAATGAAAAAAACAAAAAACAAAATAAAGCTATACTCCCGAGAATTTGCTGCTTGAACGCACGCTCAATTAATGGAAAGGTTGATGAACTTGCAGCATTTATGTCCGTCAACAAAGTTCATATAGCCGCAATTACGGAGTCTTGGTTGACTGATGAGATAGGGGACGATCAAATATCGATTGGTGGTTATGTAATTCATCGTAAGGACCGGACACATGGCCGTGGGGGTGGGGTTTGCGTTTATGTGTCTCAGCAGATATCCATTACGCGATACTTGGAATTAGAAGATTTAAATCTAGAGTGTATGTGGTTGTGGGCTCGACCACCACGCCTACCGAGACCGCTATCTGCAATCGCAGTATGTGTAGTGTATAATCCACCGGACAAAAGTGTGCAAGAACAGAGGGAACTTTGCGATTACCTTGTGTCCTCTATTGATACTATACGCTCTAAATACCCTGATTGTGGTATAGTCGTTTTAGGCGATTTTAATCGTCTCAATATACAGGATTTAGTTACAAGTCACAACCTTAAGCAAGTCGTCACGCGTCCGACTAGACAAGATTCAATCTTAGACTATATTATTACGAACTTGAAATCCTTTTACAAAACACCGGATATTTCTGCTCCACTTGGAACATCGGACCATAAAGTAATCATGTGGATCCCAAAAGACATTTTTAAGGATAATAATAATACGTGTACAAAGCGCACTGTGCGTCGATATCCTCAGTCAGGTTTGAATGGTTTTGGTTTATGGTCAACCAGGAATAAATGGTTTAGTGGACTCGGACTCAATCCATCGTCGGATGAGTTAGCGTCATCTTTTACCAATGATCTGAACACTGCATTCGATCATTTTTTCCCAGTGAACACAATCAAATTTCATCCCACGGACAAACCATGGATTACTGGGCACATAAAGCAACTTATTAAAGAACGCCAACGTGCTTTCCACACTGGCGACGCGCAATTGTGGCGCCATTACAGACGGAAGGTCCAGATAGAGATTAAAACTAGGAAAAATAATTTCTATACCCAAAAAATCCATAACTTGCGAAAAGACGATGTCCGTCAATGGTGGCACACTATTAACACAATGTCAGGTAGAGCGAAAAGTCAACCTCAGTTTACAATTGAGCGTGACGGACAGTTATTATCGGAAGGTGAACTGGCAGAGTCTCTAAATGATTATTTCGTAAGTGTAGCAAGTGATATCCCACCACTTGATATTTCAAGCCTTCCAACATTCTTACCAGCTGCGGTGCCGCCTCCTACAATTTATCCTCATGAGGTTTGTAGTAAGCTCTTAAAACTTCAGACTAATAAGGCTATGGGCCCGGACAGTATTCCATCACGAATTTTAAAAGAGTTCGCCTACGAACTTGCTGAGCCAGTTACATCAATATTTAATACATCTTTGTCCTCTGGACTAGTACCTGTTTTATGGAAAGATTCTCCCATCATACCCATTCCTAAAGCGAAACAAACCCAGGTTGAGAGCGATACCCGCCCCATCGCACTTACCCCTGTGTTATCGAAAGTACTCGAAGACTTTGTGGTTAGTTGGATGGTTGAGGACATAGGTGGACAAATCGATAATCGTCAGTATGGCAGCCTGAAGGGAACATCTACCACCCTCTGCCTTCTAGATCTTATCCACAACTGGCTTTCTAAAATGGACAACCCAGGTCATTACCTTAGAGCTTGCTTTCTGGACTTTAGCAAAGCTTTCGATAGAATAGACCACAATATTGTTATAACAAAATTGATCGATTTGGGAGTGCGCCGTTCAATAATCCCTTGGATTTGTAGCTTCCTTTCAAATCGCCGCCAGTGTGTTAAGCTGGGACAGTGCGTGTCCCGATGGCTTTCAACTAGTGCTGGGGTCCCACAGGGTGCCAAATTGGGTCCAATCCTTTTTGTCATAATGATTAATGATTTGAAAATAGTATCCCCGCGTTCCAGTAATTGGAAGTACGTAGACGACGTGACGATATCTGAGATTGTTCCAACAAGGGAGGTATCTATACTACAAAACGAATTGGACGCAATTGGTAATTGGACAAGTACCAATAATATGAAATTAAACCCCAAAAAGTGTAAAGAGATGATTGTCTCCTTTCGACGAGATATTGAGCAGCCACCACCCACCTTAGTTGTTGAAACCATTAGTCTTGAAAGAATAGAATCCCACAAAGTATTAGGTTTAACGATCCAGAATAATCTGAAGTGGGATTTGCATATCAGTGAGATAGTAACCAAAGCATCAAAAAGACTACACATCTTACGAGTTCTCAAGCGCGGTGGAGTTTCACCGTTTCATTTACTACGAGTACATTTTGCACTTATTAGATCCCTGCTTGAGTACTGCTGTCCGGTATGGCATTCATCATTGACCATTAACTTGTCAGATAAAATTGAACGGGTCCAGAAGCGCACAATGCGAATAATCTACCACACATTAAGCTATGACGCTGCTCTGGACCAAGCTAAATGTTCGACATTACGCGCAAGACGTGATGGTTTGTGCATAAAAACTTTTGACAAAATCAGACAGCCCGATTCACGCCTTAATCATTTAATACCACCTTCTCGGGCCAATGGACACAATTGTAATTTAAGGTACGGAAATAGATTAACACTGTTTCCTTGTAAGACGGAGCGCTTTAAGAAAAGCTTTTTTCCTACTATGTGTATTCAATCACATAATTTATAAATTTTGTAAATTTAAAAGTTCTTTCGATATTAATTCATAGATCAGTAAACTATTGTTGTAATATAATGCCAGTAACACAAGGTACTTTTTAATATTTTTAACTAAAGTTTGTAAATAATTTCGCAATTCGCTTTAATCGAGCGCGACGATTTTATAGTAAACCATTAATAATAATAACATTTGGTGATATTTACGCAAAATCTTGATATTGTTGCAAATGATTTGAATTCATGTATAATTGTTATTTTTCAATAACAATTTATTGGCCATATACAAATTCATTGTGATATCCGCCATGTTGAAACTGCGACAATTCAGGACAGAGCCGTTCAGCTTCAAATCTGACAAAAAAATGAAAGATATACAATAGACCTATAGGTTTAATTCAATTCAATATCATATCCCGTTTCGGCCATGCAAAAGTTGCCGAAAGAAAGGTTTTGATATATGCGATAAATAATAGTAAACTTCATTTCAAGATTGTTTTTCTAATTATAAGAATATTATTCTAGGATGGAAAAATGTTATTCTTAAAATAAGAAAAAAATTCTCTCCAATATTTTTATTGCCTAGTTATATTTTCTTATTTTAAGATTTTTGTTCTTAAAACTAGATTTTTTTCCTGAAATATTTCTTGATAAGAAATATTTACTTAAAATAAGAAAAGTAATTTAAAAAATAAGAATATTATTCTAGACTAGAATTCGATTTTTTGCAGTGTGGGCAGTTATTAGTGTTAATCGATCTCACCCACGATCGTTTTCTATTCCGCTCTTCGGCTAGGCACTACGTTCGTAAACTATGGATTTTCACATCAAGGCATTCCTTTACGGCCACTGAATCCCTCCTCGTCTCACGTGCGGTCAACTGATCTTGGTTAAACTTTATCATGCGCTTCAGATTAGATATTGAATTAACTTTGGGAACGTTTCCCATTTTCCGTCTCAGTGAAGACCTCTGTTCTCTTGATTTGCTTCGCTTTGCGGGATAACAGAATAACAAACTTTAATATATATATCGTTCACCGTTTAGCATTTTAGCTTCGCACAACAATCCCTCTCGCTGCTGGTTTCGTTTCACGGCTGTATCGGATGAACGAGGCATGATAGTTCCTTTGCTTACAACAGTAAAGCACTGTCCACTTCCTTTATACTTATGTCCTTACTTGGTCACACAGTGGGCAAATATTTTCACGATACGTTTGTTCGCCACCACAGTAACCCAACTAAATATATTACATTTATTGTATTTTATGATTTATGATAAAAATAATAAATATAATATATATTTTGTTGGGTTGCTGTGGTGGCGAACAAACATTTCGTAAAAATATTCGCCCCCTCTCCCCTGTCAAGTAGCCCACGAGGAGTTTTCGCGAAGATTGCGCGTGACTTTCAAATTATTTTTAAACTTGTGTACTTGATTCTGATCCTAAATGTGTTATGGGAGGTTTTCCTTTCAAGTGCAACTAATGTTTTCAATTTTTCGATTGGGACTATTCTACAATGAGATACATGTACTCTTGGATACTGTAATCTAAATACATATGAAGGCGAAGAAGTGACATTTCTCGGGCAGAAAGTGCCGAGCCATTGCAATGACAGCATATTTGACAAAATATCGAGGGGCACAATATCGAACGACGTGTTTTGGTGAGGAGTAAGTGAACTAAAATGTATTATATTTAAACAAAACAATGACAATCCTTATAAAATCTACAATAATTATATTAAATTAAACATATTTTTTCATCCCATGATAAATTTTTTAGGAAATAAGAAAATTCAATCTCTGCCGGGTATATTGTTTATTTCATGCATACACTGTTAATTTCAAATAACACCATAAGTGGTGTTACGAATTTGTATTCCCCAGTGTTAAATTAGCACTGTTTGTGGAGTGAGAACATGAGGTGTTAAAATAACACCTTTTTGGTGGTGTTAAATTTAGCACGCAGCACGAGTGTTAAAATAGCACCTTTTTGGTAAAGGTGTTATTTTAGCACCCTTTTTCGGTGCTAATTTAACACGACATAAATAAAAATATTTTGCAAAGTGTTAATTTAACACTCAAATTGTTTAACACCACTTTAGAGGTGTTAAAATAACACCCACTTAAGGACAGGTGGTGTTAAAATAACACCGGTTTCTGGTGCTAAATTCTTGGTGTTAAAATAACACCATAAGTGGTGTTAAGAATTTGTATTCCCCAGTGTTAAATTAGCACTGTTTGTGGAGTTAGAACATGGGTGTTAAAATAACACCTTTTTGGTGGTGTTAAATTAGCACGCAGCACGAGTGTTAAAATAGCACCTTTTTGGTGGTGTTAAATTAGCACTGAGCACGGGTGTTAAAATAGCACCTTTTTGGTGGTGTTAAAACTGTTCGTGCAGTTAGAATAACATATATTCTTAAACTAAATTACAGGTATTTCGCCAAATTAATTAATTGGCAAATATTTATCCGAATATTATTTACTGTTAGCATGAAACAGCCGCATATTAATTTACTGGCAAATTATAAGCCATTTCACAAATGAAACATTTGAATTCAGAAGTTAATACTTTTAGACATATAAATAATAAATTAACAGAAATAGTTCCCATGTCACATGCATGTGTCCATGTATGTTTATGCATTTCATCATACAGATTGGAAACTGGCAAAATTGGACCTCAAAATATCGCATTTCAAATATCATAACACGCTATAATTTGCAGCAGTAGCAACACAATATGAAGATAACACACAATGAAGCCGAAATATTTGAATATTCGCGCGCCGCATGATCGAGCTTTCAACCAATGAGGATAGCGCCGCCGTGAAATCTAATACCTTCTTCTCACATCAATACTGGCATTTATATAGTTTGTGGTCGTTTGTATGGGAATATATCTGCTATTGTGGTGCGAGGGTTCTATTAGGATTGCTTCTAAGTGTCAGTGCGATGGAAGCGATACAAACTGATTAAAATGGCTTTAGTATATTCATATTTCAAGCATAAAGATGGCTTTAAAACAGTGTGAGGAAGAAGCGAGCAAGGTTGCTGTTTGTATTTGAATGACAAAGGTCTGGCCGCCAATGCAATTCAAAACGTGTGGTTCACAGCGTCAATGCTTTAGAATTAGTTCGCCTGTAACTTCAAAGATGTGATAAACGTCGAAAGGAATAAGGTGAGTTATTATAATACTGCGAGAATTATAGTGATTGTTGTCTGCGATTGTCGTATTTATAATACGACCGCCATTATGCTGAGGCTATTCTCATTGCCATTGCAGTCTCAGTTAAGAAAACTTGCGCGCGTTTTGATTTACAAGTACTGTAGTTTTGTCTGATTTATCTTGCGTTTACTGCTTTCATTTCAATTATAAAGACAAGTATTTTAGAACCTGAGATGGAAAATCGGGAAATGGCTGTTAAATGCCCAACCTCAACTATATCATATACATATAGGAATGCAAGATTTTGTGCATTCTATTCAAATTACGCACAACAACACAGACCAACAATACTTTATTCATTAAATTTCAATGGCAAACCGAAACGGTAATGTTTTATATTGATTACTGAACGATGGAATTTATTTTATTAATACTGTCTGTGAGATGAGATACAGTATACACTACACAGCTGGACCTGAGCTGGTGTTTCATGAATATTTTTGCCAACTCGAATTTTATATTTGATTTTTAACCATTAATTTAAGCTGCAATGTTCCCAAATATACCTTATTTTATTGTTTTATTCTGGCTAACGCAGACAATTTTTATCTAATTTGCCAAGGGGATCTTATACCGTAAACCTCCGACTATAAGCCCTGGGCTTATATACTTTCGTAAGCGATTTTTGATGGGCTTATACAAGGGGGGGGGGTTATATATGCGGGGGGCTAATACATGGATGATCTTTTGTGTTAGTAATAAACAAATCAGACATAAACAAGTCAGTCATAAACAGGAAAATATACATCCATTAATAACATGCTTTGATTAACATAACATATAGTCGGCTATAAAGACAATGACAATGTTTTTAAATATCGTTCTCTGCTATATTAAAAGACAATGAAAATGTTGAATAACGTAGTGTGCTACTGGGCTTATATTCGGGGACTTATATTTGGGGGGCTTATATTTGGGTGTGCTTATGTTCAGGGGGGGCTTATATTTGGAATGAATTGAGCGTTAGTATATGTGGTGGGCTTATATTCGGGGGGGCTTATAGTCGGGGGGGGGGCTTATAGCCGGAGGTTTACGGTATAATGACAGAGATAATTTTACCTATCATTGGGCTATCAATGGGAGAGTCCTGAGTATTAATATTTAAGAGTGAAAATATTGATTATGATATAATGTTCACATTATAAAATCCCCAAACATAATTCTCTTTCTCGACCATGTCAAAAGATACACTAAACCTAATAAGTTCTTATTGCAACAGATTCTCATTTTAAAGTAGACGATGGCTTCCCTGTTAGATACTGTACTCCTTTTGAAAAATATTAATTGCTACATGTAGTGTTAAGGTGAGATGGCACACCTCTTATCCGTCCTGGACAAATGACCCATTTGACACTTGGTAACATTATAATGAAGTAGTTTTTCATTCTTGAAATGGCGATGTATTGACATGAATTTTCAATGTTAATTAACACTATAATGGGGGTAATTTTTCTTTCTTAAAATGGCAATGTATCGATATGATTTTTCAATGGCAAAATGCAATTGGACTGTACGGGCCAGTCTGTACCAGTGACTAATTATATAGTTAAGCTAGGTGACACTTGCTCGATGGCTTCCCTGTTAGATACTTGGCTACTCTCTGTTATATACTGTGCATACTCCTTTTGAAGTAATTAAAATTGCTACATGTAGTGTTAATTAAGGTGAGATGGCACATCTCTTATCCTACATCATTGCATGTGATCAATGCTTATTTGTCTCAACAAAGAGATGGTTTGCGCTCTAGCTAGCTATCTCCTTGACAATTAGATAACGTCCTGGACAAATGACCCATTTGACACGGGTAACATTATAATGAAGTAGTTTTTCATTCTTGAAATGGCGATGTATTGACATGATTTTTCAATGGCAAAATGGAATTGAACTGTAACAGTGATTAATTATATAGTTAAGGGACACTTGCTCAATGGCTACCCTCTGTTATATACTGTGCATACTCCTTTTGAAGTAATTAAAATTGCTACATGTAGTGTTAATTAAGGTGAGATGGCACATCTCTTATCCTATCATTGCATGTGATCAATGCTTATTTGTCTCAACAAAGAGATGGTTTGCGCTCTAGCTAGCTATCTCCTTGACAATTAGATAACGAGTAGCGTAAAGCCAATCAGAATACAGCATTTGCATTAGAACTTGACAACATTTAAAATTACTAAATATATATACTGTATAGACTAATGTGAAAATGAATACTTTTAGCATGACGACCCCATTGTCCATTGATGAAGAAGTGAGGAAATCAACCTATAGCTATCCTTCAATCTTGGCATCAGGTGACATTGCATCCTTGGACCCATTGTACATTGCTGCCGTGGGGCAAATTTACTTGCGTTTTGCTGGTAAAAATATTCCACATACTTATTGCTACATTCCATGTTCTAAATATGGAATACACTCCAGGTGTTTCGAGTGTTTATGCATCTCTAGAATTTAGAAGCTGTCACCTTAAACCGCCCTGCTGATGCCGAGAACAAAATTTCTGTACAACAACTTTTAAGTGAGCTTGGACTCTGAAATTAATCGTGATAAATACTTAGTTCATATATAAAATTCATGCATGTTAAAGGTATTTCTTGTCAGCGAGTAATTTATAATAATAACCAATTTTGAACCTATATTTCTCTTTTGTGTGTGTCTTAATGTGCCTGGTTGAAAGTGTTAAATCAACACCTTAAATCTGGTGTTATTTTAGCACCAGATAGGAAGAGGTGTTGCTTTGGCACTGCCAAATCAGGTGTTATTTTAACGCCACACTATAGGTGTTAAATCAACTCTTAAAACTGGTGTCACTTTAGCACTTAAAAGTGGTGTTAGTTTAACACTATAAACAGGTGTTAAATTAACCCCAAAAACTAGTGCTAATTTAACACTAAAATGGGTGTTGTTTTAGCACCATAACTAGTGTTATTTTAACACTTTTTTAGTGGTGTTAAAATAGCACCAAAAAGTAGTGTTATTTTTTACCTAATTTTTTAACACCACTTTTTGGTGTTATTTTAACACCCTAAAATTAACAGTGTATACAAAGCCGAAGTGACAACCAGCACTGCCAACAACCAGGAAAAGAAAATATACATTGGCATGACGGCGGGCGATTTCAAAACAAGATACCGCAATCACACTAAGTCTTTCCGACATGAGGAATACAAGAGCAACACCGAACTGTCCAAGTACGTCTGGAAACTGAAGTCAGAAAAAAGTCAGTATACAATAAAGTGGTCCATTATGAAGAAAGTCAAAGCATACAAACCAGGATCTAAACGGTGTAATTTATGCCTCGAGGAGAAATTACTTATTATGAAAGCCAAGAAAACTGAATGCCTGAACAAACGCTCTGACTTGTTTTCCAAATGTAGACATGTAACCAGACACCTGCTTAATCAAGTTGTAAAATGATAACCTATATTTATTATGAATATTGAATAATATCTGTCAGTTGCCTGATGATCGCGTAAAGCGTGAAACTCAGAGTAGCGACGCAAACATTCAAACCTTGACTGAATTATATATATATATATATATATATATATATATATATATATATATATATATATATATATATATATATATATATATATATACATATATATATATATATATATATATATATATATAGTCGCTGCGTTACCCAAATTTGCACTAATTTGTGCAAAGGTAACGCAGCGACTTATGGGATATATACCCCTGGTGCCCACTGCACGCCGGGAATTTTACCCTTTGCGTAGCATTACACATTCAGACCGGGCTAGTTTTCTCATGTGCTGGGCAACTTGCATCTATATACCAAATTAATGTCCGTCTTTTCCTTGGACAGTTTGCATTATCCATCTCTATCTAAAAGCAGGATGTCCGAAAATATGCAAATTTGCTTACGTGCAGTGTCATATTGCTCATCGCATGCAGTAAAGGCAGATTGGTTCCAAGTCGAAATTATCTTTTAAATTAACTTTATTTTTCTATATACGAATCGTATCAATCTTAATTTTTACACTAACTGTTTACTACAATCCTAGACAAAACCACTCGGACAAGCACATGGAAAAGGCGCCTTAAATTCAAATGTCTGAATATAATTGCAAATACTCATCCCCCCACCCTTAGAACAATGTTGATGAGATGGGAATGTCTTCTGTGATACATACATAATAAAGTAAACAACATTGTGCTGGGGGAACGGGGGTTAAGAGTTATTTACATCTTCTAATAAAAAAATACCTCGCAGCTAAGGTGACAAACTCAATTTAGACCAAGTTGTCCGCATGAGTTTTGTCTATGATTGTAGTTCGCCTAGCTATATATAAGGCCAATCTACATATTTATGCACTATTAATAATTGTCATTGTTCACGCGATAATAAGGTTGCGAAATAAGGCCAAGGTCTGGGAACGGCGTACGAATGACTGTGCTTGTATAATGAACCACATTGTTCTATGTTCAGAATATATATACTCAAGATCATTTATATACGTCGATTACTACCAAACAACGGTAAAAATTGCCATACCAATCGAAATTAAACGCAATGCTAAAATTAAATACTATATCAATATCTACATATGCCTTATCAATGTTCGTTACGCATGATGATATAAACTATTTTCTAAAACGTTCGCTCCTACATTGATTTGTTGCGAGTTTATTGGAAGCCCGTAGATTATAAGTGAAATAGTTTTCAATTTGGATTAGGTTAGATAACAATGAAAGCTGGAAAAGGACGTTTTTGTTAAAAAAGTTTGAACATATAAGGATTCATGTCTTGCAGCCAAGGTTGCAAGGTCAAACACTGGTAAAGCGTCGCTGTACGAAAGAGTTGGATAAATTATTTTGAGAGTTATTGAACGGACTCCTTCGATATCATTCGTTGAATATTCAGGAATGCTATATAGTGCCACAGTCGAGCATCATAGTACTCTACAACTAGTCTCACACATGTGATATGAGAACAGAAATCTATAGTTGATTAACTAGGCGGGAGTAAATTTAAATTTACTTTAATCTATATATGTGGATGTAAAATATCGTATACTTACCAAGGACCAAGAAGCAAAACCAACACAGCGACCAACAATACTTTGATATTTTCACTCTCCGACAGTGATATTTTACAGCAATTAGACGCGAACCCTTCTTTCCTGTTCCCGCTGAACACCATGCAATGAAGCAATGCAATATTTCCTGCAGTTATAATTATTTAAATTTATCCACATACTTCACAAAAGGCAAGATAAAATTGCTTGTTGCTGTTCGTACGCAATGTACACAAAAATCTGCGTTGTGTTCAGTGTTTCAGATACTACACACAGTGATCGAGGATGTGGTCAAAATCCCAAAATATTAGTTCTGTTTCCAAAAATTTTTCGCACTGGGTTAAACAATCAGCACGTAAATTGGCTGTCTCAAATTCATTCTGAATTCAAGAGGATCAATTTATTCCTAGATCTCAAAGTTAATAACCCTGAGAAGTGCTTACGCCAGACGTCTCAACTCTCACGCATTCGGCGTGAGTCTCACGCAATTCGCTTCACTCTGACGCTCTCACCGTCGCAACGTTTATTAAATCTCACGCATATAGCAGTTTCATAGTATTTTTTTCAATAAATATATACCGGTATAATATTGTATTCTTAAATGCACATTATTAATCATTATACAGATCAGGAATCGAATACATAATCGCGTGTTATTGTTCCTGCATATATAATAACAACAAAGATGTCAATAAATAAAGATGTCAATACGGCCCGACATTATGCATGCTTTTGCCTGCAAATTTGGATACAAAATAGTACGCATGTGTAAATACGGCGGACAAAAGGCAGAATCAGTCAGAGCAGAATTCTATATGTAAATTATCAAAGGCAAATTAAAGCTGATTACTGTATGTCACAGAAATACAGTACTAGTTATTGTAACTAAAGTGCCTTGTCTTAAAGGACGTTATGAAGCAATCAGTATTTCATTAAAAAACACCAACTCCCATAATGTACGAAATGCCATTTCAGACCCCCGGACTTTTACAAAGGTGTCATCCACATCCCCAATCTCACTCTTAACTTCTCTGCAAAGTTGAGAGGTCTGGCTTACGCGCCTCACGCAATTTTCAATCCATCAAAACATTAGGTATATGCAATGCCTATAGGATACATGTAAGTCAAATACCCATTGTCTGACAGTGATGTGACGCTCTGACTTCTAGGTAAATTTGGCAAAATGCTGATGACACAAAGTGCTACCGTTCAGTGAAGGAGATATCCGACTGTGATGATCTGCAGAATGATCTGGACAATGTCGCAAGGTGGTGCAATGATTGGAAGATGGGTGAAGATATTATTTTGCATGATACAAAATATGAACTTCACTTGTTTTGATTGATTGACATCTTTATTTAAAACACGAGGTCCATTTCACAGGATATGTTATGTGCTCTTCAATGGAGACGTGTACCTATACTAGTAGACTAATTACTAATAATTAAAAAGGTATCAACTATTTACAAAAGTAACAAACTACACATGCAAAGAAACTAATATAAAAGAAATATTAAGATATTTTAGATTTAAACTCAGCGAAAGATTGAACTCTAGTGAGTTCGACGGATATGTCATTCCATAGGGTAGCTCCTCTATAGGAAAAACGTTTCTTCAAAGGATTCCGTTAAGGGTCTTGGTACAAAAAGTTTATGATTAGATCCACGCACACTATATTCGTGTATCATTGACGTGGAAGTAAATTTTCCAGACAAGTAACTAGGAACCATATTATTAGCAGTTTTATACATAAAAGTTTTGAACTGTTGGGTACGTCTGGTTTCAAGGTTAGTCCGATTCAATGATGTTAAAATATCTGATGACCGGATGTTATAATCAGATTCAGTAATAATTCTTGCAGCCCTATTCTGTAATCGCTGTAACTTTTGTCCAAGACCCTTACCTAGGCTATCCCAGACAATACTACAATAATCAAATAATTCAAACGTAGTGAAGTGATTTTTCGCTAGTCTAGTTGATATGACTTATTAAGTGCAGTTCTATGCACTTAAGAGTGAATGTCAGTAAAAATCGAACATATGAGATATTTCGCGGCCACGACTGAAAAATCGATTTTGCTCAAATTTTGCCCAGATATACCTTATTATATCGGAAAATGCACCATATATTTTTTTAGGCCAAATGCTTTTTTAACTTTGAGAAAATGCCGTTTTAACACGACCACCCTAAATCGCCATTTTGTCTGGGAAAATATGCGCTAATTTTACCGACAAATTTCACGACGACAACCGTTTCTAATCGATCTAAAACCCCAAAAATCTTGTTTTCGGTTATTCAAAGGACCGGGTACGTGACTTACAAGAAATCTGAGTTACTTTTAGGAATAGAAATAATCGTAGTTTTGGAGCACACTATCTTACTTCATTTACGATACCCTCTTAACAAAACCGATTTTCACTATGGGATAAAGCTCCAAATCGATCATGCTTCTACTAGTTGGCTCTTTAATAAACAAGCTTTCAATTGACGTAAATACTTATTTGGGCAAATGAATACGCGATAAACGACAACGCGCTGAAATCGTCCGTTTTTGACGTCTTGCAAGCAAACGCTGTTAATTTACATACCGTCGAAGTAAACAATTTAATCAAGTATTCTAAGTATTTTACCTTTTGAGAAGAAGATATATTCTTGAATGGAGACTTTTTGCCTTGCTAAGTTTAAAATTGGTCCAAAAATCCTGATATATTTGTAAAATATCATCATATACAGGTATTTTGAGATATAATATTGTTGTCAGTTGCATGATAACTTCAGATCACTGTTCAATATTGTCTACTTTTAATAGCGCTAACATACAAATCGATGAGCTGTTTAGGGATTATATTTGCTACTAAATTTCCCAAAATTAGAACTTCAGTTGTTGTTTTGTTCCAGTTTGATCCATATGATGTACCATTTTACAAGCTTTTACATATCGACTATGCTATCGAGTATAAATGTTTACGAATACATAAGTTAATTATTAAGCAGCTGTTAATAGCGTGCGTGTGAAATGAACATTAATCCATACAAGGTTTGTTATTTTATTACATATTCTACCACCTCAAACTCAAATTATAGCAAATAGTTTAGAATAATTATTTTAATGTGTGTTCACTTTGATGCTCAGTTAAAATAATCAGTAAAATTACTTTCTTTTGATACACTATTGTTTATTGATCTTATTATATTCCACAAGTACTAGTAACCCAAAAATACAGCATTTAGATATGTTACCCCAGTGCGACACCAGAAATTATTATTGTCTCCCCACACGTCGCGTTTAAAAAAAATGGAAGCTTGTTGCTCGTTTAACGCCAGATTAACCATAGGGATTAACCATGTGTCAGATGCGGCAAATGCCACGGGCCTCGCGCTTATGGGGGCATTGCGCTTTACTGTGCCACGCCCATTTTTACGAGAACACGGCCATTTTCTGTTGGGACACACCCATTTTAGGTGCCTCGCGAATTTAGGGCCCCTAGGCTTGGCAGTTGGCCCCAGCACGGCCCCGGGAAGATATGCAATACTCGTGTGCATGTAATCTCCAGTTGCGTTGAGCTGTTATATTATGATCCTGTTTATACATGTTGACCCAACAACTGGGCCAGGCAGGCCATTGTCTCGTTTATAATTGATGCTAATAAATTGAAATATTGAAAAAAATTATTTAACAATTTTGTGTGTCTTTAAATTCAAAGATTTTCATAACAAGGCGGAGAGTGGGGGGAGGGGGAGGGGGTTGGGGGCCTCGCGCTAAAATCTGCCACGAGCCTCGCGCGACGTTAATCCGGCCCTGGTCACTTGTCGGTAGTTCTTGTGGTTTTAATGCCAATTGCCAAAGAACGAAAGAGAGCACCGATGACTTCCCCCGTCGGAGAATTACTGGCGCAGCCCAGGCCAGCTCAGTGAAATATGGGGCCCAGGGCCAATTATATCTTTGGGGCCCCGGTGAACCACAATAATTCCCCTCCCACCCCTCCGTCGACAAACTTTTTACCCCCTTGCAAATTTGTATTTGCCGGCCCTCCTTGAGCTGGGGTCGCGGAGAAAATTGCTCCCTTTGCCCCCCCTCCCCCCTTGCAAGGGCGGCCCTAGCGCCACCCCTGTCTTATCATAACCATCTACTTCAAATAATTTTTAAAGCCCTGGTCTTTTTCAAGTAGTTTTTTGTCCCGAAAAAGTAAAAGACTTAGAAATGGTGATTAAATTATTTACTACGGTATGTTATTTAATAACGAGCAAGGGTTATGGTAAGGATTTAAGTTATAAAGTTGGTGTTTGGAATAGGGTTAGTGTAAAGCTTTGTTACGTTTTGTCATTCTGAGGCCAGCGAAATAACCTCTTACGCAACATGCATGCGTACGCGTCTACTATCGTCAAGAAACAATCAATACGTATAATCGTTGTGGTCTGTGGGATATTAATGAGATTTAAAGACCTTGCAGTTTTAACACACATTAGCCGAATTCATATTAGAGACGGGAAACTCATATTAGACGGGAAACTCGTCTTAAATTCGAATTTATCCGTCCCTAAATTCATATTCAGGCGGGTTTTCACAGACGAGTTTCCGTCTAAGACGAGTTTCGCGTCCCTAATATGAATTCGGCTATTCAAATATAAGGGCTGGTAAACTAAAAATAAAAACTCCTTATATTGATAAACATATTTATAAACGTTCATTTCATGTCACGCACGCTAACACCTGCTTAATAATTAACTTACGTCTTCGTAAACATTATAGTCGATACATAACTGGTACATTAATTTAATAATATGGACAAAATGGAACAAAACCTCTGAAAACAGCAGTTGTAGTTCTAATTATTTTGGTAAATTTAGTAACAAATATAATCCCTAAACAGCTCATCGCTTTGTATGTTAGCGCTATTAAAAGTAGACAATATTGAACAGTGATCTGAAGTTATCATGCAACTGACAACGATATTATATCTCAAAATACCTGTATATGATGATATTTCACAAATATATCGGGATTTCTGGACCAATTTTAAACTTAGCAAGGCAAAAAGTCTCCATTCAAGAATATATCTTCTTATCAAAAGGTAAAATACTTAAAATACTTGATTAAATTGTTTACTTCGACAGTATGTAAATTAACAGCGTTTGACTTGCAAGACGTCAAAAACGGACGATTTCAACGCGCTGTCGTTTATCGCGTATTCATTTGCCCAAAGAAGTATTTACGTCAATTGAAAGCTTGTTTATTAAAGAGCCAACTAGTAGAAGCATGATCGATTTGGAGCTTTATCCCATGGTGAAAATCGGTTTTGTTAAGAGGGTATCGTAAATGAGGTAAGATAGTGTGCTCCAAAACTACGATTATTTCTATTCCTAAAAGTAACTCAGATTTCCTGTAAGTCACGTACCCGGTCCTTTGAATAACCGAAAACAAGATTTTTAGGGTTTTAGATCGATTAGAAACGGTTGTCGTCGTGAAATTTGTCGGTAAAATCAGCGCATATTTTCCCAGACAAAATGGCGATTTAGGGTGGTCGTGTTAAAACGGCATTTTCTCAAAGTTAAAAAAGCATTTGACCTAAAAATATATATGGTGCATTTTCCGATATAATAAGGTATATCTGGGCAAAATTTGAGCAAAATCGATTTTTCCGTCGTGGCCGCCTTATGTTTGATTTTTGTGGACATCCTCTCTTAAATACTTTTGTTAATGAGACGTTTTGAATATTAAACCGTGCGTTGGACAAGGTTAAGTAAGACTCTGCCGTCTTGGAACTTTGTGGAATGTCTTTTGCTAGGTTTGATGCTACCTCATTGAAATGCGCGTTTAAGCTATTTGCGATCTCCTCTGGTTTTGTCACATTTTGATTGTCATGTTGGATTTCGGATATTAAAGTTGTTTTTGACTTTTTTCCTGTAAGTTTATTAATCGTTTTCCACATTTCTTTAAAATAAGTCGATTTTGTATTTTTAATTAATCTGTTTAGATCGTTACGTGTTTGCTTATAGACATCATGAAACTGTTTCGATCCTGTTTTAACTGCTTTTTTTTTCAAAAAATCTCTTTGTTTCATAACTTGCCTAATATTATTTGTGATCCATGGAGCATACTCACTTCTAACCTTTTTGGTAGTCTCGGGAGCGTGAAAATCAGCGATTGATAAAAATGTTGTTTTCCATTTTTTCCACATTATATTTGGATCAAGCATAGTATCCCAAAATATTCTGTTGTGTAAATAGATGAAAATATCTGATTTAAAGTTGTTCACACTGTAATGCTTGAATTGTCTTGTTTTAATAACTTTTGGGTCATTACGGGGAATAGAAATTTTTCTTTGAATATAAATTAAACTATGGTCACTAATTCCCAGATGGATGATTCCTGAACCATTTATTAATTCCGGTTTATTTGTGAATGCTACGTCTATTAACGTTTTCGTTGTGGACGTAATTCGCGTTGGTTCATTAATCAATTGCTTAAATTGAAAAGTTCCTGCAAGTTGGCAAGTTTGTTTGTCTGGGATTAGCTTTATTGTTAATTAGGCGAGACCAATCACAATTGAAGTCCCCAATCAAAATAACTTCTTTATTTTCGGAGTCCATTTTAGTAATTAAATCTTCATAGTTGTTAAACAATTCTAGTGGTGTATCAGGTGGTCTATACCAACAATTTATTAAGAGATTTCGATCCTGATTTTCTCAAGGTTTTCGTCAAATAGATCGTCTCTTATTATGTAATGTGACGGTATCTTGATTTCAATCAAACACTTGGTTTTTTAAAAATTGTTTTACGTTTCCTGCAAGGGTAGATGTCCCTCTTTGGTTTAGATGTAGTCCATAATTATTGAGATGAATTTTAGTTATATTATCATGTTTAATAAGACCCCAGTTATGCTCAGTACATAGTTCATCTAGTTTCTTATTAAAAACATTTACCTTGTCGGCAAGATTCGCATTATCATTACTAGTTATAACTTCCGAGAGTGTAAGCTCAGTTCCATTTCCTTCTTGAGTAATTGTTTCTCCGAGTCTGCTTATCGCCGTTATTAATGTAACTGGTGATTTGGTTTGAAGGTCGTTCGTACCTACATGTAAGACAACATGGTTTGGTTTTTTCTGAAGTGTTGGTCTAACGTAATGTATCATCTCGTCTACACCGGCCCCAGGAAAAGTTTTAATCGTGACTTTATCGTCCAATCCGTGTTGAATTTTCCTTGGATTCAAGTGTTTTAACATGGAGTCACCCAGAATGGCAACAGTAGGGCGGTTGTGCTTCGTGTTCTTAGGTATATTTGCTTCTTTGACTTTCTGTGAATCTTTTTTAGAGTGTCGGTTTCTTTCGTGTCGTTGGTCTTGTTTTGGGACTTGTGTCGCGGTAATGTCGTCGCTACGGTTATCAGATACATTATTGCTGTCTGATTCACTATCGTCTATGTCCGATATACTTAAAGCAGTATACTGATTCTTTTGTTGCACGGATTCTTTTGCTTTGACATTTCTTGTACCAACAGGATTATGGGCTGACGTATTTCATCCCTCCATGGTCTTTTTGCAGTTGTTGACAACATTCCATGATGCCTGTTGTTGTTCTTGATCGTTTTGAATAATTTTAATGACCGTAACTAAACTATTCTTTTCGTTTTCCAAGTCCTTAACTTTTAAATTCAGGTCGGACATAACGCACTTATAGCTGTTGATTTGCTCTTTAAGTGAATCATTTTCTTTTTTTAATCTGGCATTGTCTTTCGTGAGAAGTTTATTAACAGCCGATGACTGATCGTTGACAGATGATTTATTCATGGCTTCGTTCTCTCCTCTTATAATATTCTCATTATATAACTCTATTTTTGTCTCATGTATTTCGCTCTCGAGGTTGTTGATCTTTTGTCCCAATCTCTTCTCAAGTTTTTGCACCGTGTCAAGTAAAACTTTGAACTTGTCGTTTCCGTTTGTATTTGTTAAGCTCTCATCGCAATTAGTGATGCAAACGACCGAATCGTCTTGGCCAGTTTCGTTTGTGTCGGTATCAATGTTGTTTGTCGTTTGAGAATCAGCTTTAGTTAGGGTGGCAAGAATTCGAAGTTGAGATTTCATATCTTCGCTCATGTTTCCGTTTATAGTAAGTGAATTATTATTTGAATACCATCTAACCACGACCTCGTCCAAGTCCAGCATTTTACAGTAACCGCTTGACGACCATTTTGTCCTCTTCTCTGTAATTTCGTTCATCAACGTTTTTAGGCTTTCAAAGCTGCCGTGCCATTTGAATTTCCCTTTTTCATTAACTGTGAGGTTGTTTGCTTGGCTATTCACTTCACTTGTGTGATTATCATTATCATTATCAGTTGTATTTTTGTGTAGATTTTGTTCAAGTGTGGAACTGTTCAACACACATCTGTCCGCCATCAATATGTATCTAATGTCTCAAGACTATGCAACATATATATATATATATATATATATATATATATATATATATATATATATATATATATATATATATATATATATATATATATATATATATATATATATATATATATATATATATATATATATATATATATATATATATATATATATATATATATACCGGGTGTCCCAAAAAAAAGTACTCCGGTTTGATTTATAATAACTTCTAAACAAGTAAAGCTATCAAACAGAAATAACTTGCATTGAATAGAGGAAGGACTAACTTAGATTTTGATATATTACAGTTGTATTTTACTGAAAAATTCACGGAGATATTAATGTTCAAAATCGGGAGCATATTTTGGGATGTGTCTAAAATTAGCGAAAATCGGCGTATCAAATTTTAACTCCAGCGTTTGTTTGCTTAATGACATATCAGGGTAAATTGTATTTCAGCGAATTGTCGTTAGGGTTTGTAAGGGATATGGCGTAGATTTAGACATCTTACATGTAAGTCTTAACTTATTGTTTCCTGAAATATGAACGTTCGAAATTATGTAAGTATTTAATAGGTCTTTGCAAACTTAAGGTACTGAAAGACCATGCAAGGCAGGCGCTTCAATTTTTCTTAAATAACCTATTTTTTATGTTTTTCATGGGTTCAAAACAAAGTTGATTATTTCTCGGTTAGAGCAGGATGAATATTGTTCTTTAATGGAGGAAATAATATTGCTTTTTGCAAATACACATCACAGTATCAAAGCTACTATTTTGTTACGTTTTGTTCCAAAAATGTTGGATGTCTCTGGGGAGTTGCATGCTTGTTATGTCTTTACTTAAGGAGTTGTATGGTTTGATTGTGTTTCATTCTCAGTTTATTCTGAACTTGCCAAGATTAAGAAAGTCAAAAGAGTTTGGGTGTTCTTAACAAGATTTCAGAACGTTGCAGAAGTTAGAAAATTCATTCAATGTGAAGTTAGAAAATTCACAATTCCAATGTGACAGCGTGCCCTAATTCAGAACTACGAACGATCCATGACGATCCTTCGCGATGCAGTGGTCTCATGAAATAAGGAAACGTATTCGTGCTAGGAACACACGCGGATTTCGGACGAATAAATCTTGCTTGTATTTTGTAGATAATAATACTTTGTTTCATAATAAACAATTTGTCAAGTGTCATTTATTTACAGGTAATAGTGCATGTTTCAGTTGGGTAAATCTTGATTAATATTTGATACGCTGTTTTTGGCATATTTCAGACACATCAAGAAATATGCTCCCGATTTTAAACATTAATATCTCCGTGAATTTTTAAGTGAAATACAACTATAATATATCAAAATCTAAGTTAGTCCTTCCTCTATTTGATGCAAATTATTTCTCTTTAAAAGCTTTACTTGTTTATAAGTTATTACGAATCAAACCGGAGTACTTTTTTTTGGGACACCCGGTATATATATATATATATATATATATATATATATATATATATATATATATATATATATATATATATATATATATATATATATGCATAACAATTAACAAAGAAATCAAGATTCTTGTTTTGTTTTCTGATGCGGTCAATTATTTTTAACAATGCATCTTAGGAGTAGAGAAAAACAACGACGACTGCAGAAAGACTCACCTTTTAAAGTCTAACAAGTGGGATGCTGCAAAAGATGTCCTCCTTGCAAGCAAACGCCTCGAAAACTTGGAGGAATTTAGGAGAACATCAAGGCCATACACTAAGAGAAATGCTGAATACTGGTCAACAACAATAAAAGAGAGCAGGGCAGCACGACGGGAAAATATGAAAACCCCTGAAAATAATGGCCATACTCAAGACAATGGGTTGGATGCTGTACACACTATGAGTCCGCTTGAGATTCGAGTCAAGCTCCGAGAAATGGGTTACCCAACTAGAGCACGGAATATAAAGCGGCTCCAAGAGCTATACCAAATGGCTATTCAATCAGCTTCGGAACACTAATTTAGAAACTATACTTGTATATGAAATATATTATGTTAAATTAAATTATTGGCCTCTTTAGTATATATAGTTTTAGTTTTTCCAAAGGCATTGTCGGAGCCTGGCAAAGTTTGCCCTTGCGCAACTCAAATGTCAATGGAGACCAGGAGAGAACTGGTTTGACCTTTATGGGAAAGTCAACAGCCTTTCCTTCTCCATTTTCATTCAGAAAATACCACCAGTTATTGGGCAGGAATTTAAGTCGAGAAACATCATTCTTCTCAAGCATAAGATGACCACGATGATTCGACTCTTTTCCTCTCTGGTGAACAATAAATCTCCACACATCCAAGTGCATTGGCAAGTAAATTGGAGAAAAGGAAGCACTTTTCAGGCATGAAACAACTCCAACCGCAAATTCTCGGCATGACTCCAACAGCACATCATCAGATGGTGTCAACGGTCTTGAATAGCTCCTATACAATAAAAAATTTATAAAAAGGCATGAAACTCGCACCATTTCACTTTAAAAATTATCAGATGGGAGGGTTTAAAACTTGTGCTTTTTTCATATAACACTAAATACTTCAATGAACACACTGCATGTGAGTGAAACCTCTCTAATTTATAGCAATGATAAATTTTATCAACAGCATGTCCATGAAATTTACCAACCTGAGTAATAGTGAATTGAGATTTTCACTTGGCTCCCAGGAGCAGCTCTCAATTGGCCAACCCCGCCATTGAACGAGATACTCTTCATTCTTTATTAAAAGGTTATAAAGTAGTTATTACAAATAGACAATATCCTATCAATTTTAACTTGCAAACTAACAATTTCTAACGAAGTCGAAGGTTGGATTTTAAAGATATGAAATAATCAAATAAAGTGAAGCCATACGTACCCTTCCTTTATTCCTTCTCTCAATCGAGCGTTCGACTTCGTACAGCTTTCCTTTTTTACGGCTTCTTTTAGTTTCGTTGTATAATACAACAGATGAAAGCGAATTCAATTGTTGATAATCAATTGACTCTCTCACGCGTTTGGCGGCCATGTTTCTCTCGCATAATATTATATGCGGCGGACCGCTGCGTTAAGCGTAGGCTCAAATGTCTTAAATTTCTGGCCATAACTAAACTGCCTTTATCGATAAACTTTGAGTTCGAAATAAAATGATTCCAAATTCTCCCATGTAAATAACTTTGCTTAGTATAATAAAAAGTGTAATCAATAAATAAACACTGAAATAATACGCTGCATGTCTTGTTTATATTTTATATACGCAACGATCGGCTTTTAAAGTAATTACAGTCCCAGATTACAGTATATTAAAAGCAAACAATGCATCAATATTAGGTATGTTATTATACGTAATATAAGCTTCAATTTAAGGTAAAATTCAACAACAAACGCTTCGCAAAACGTTTGAAAGTGTTCTTTTAATATAGAACTAAACTGCCTTTATCGATAAACTTTGAGTTCGAAATAAAATGATTCCAAATTCTCCCATGTAAATAACTTTGCTTAGTATAATAAAAAGTGTAATCAATAAATAAACACTGAAATAATACGCTGCATGTCTTGTTTATATTTTATATACGCAACGATCGGCTTTTAAAGTAATTACAGCCAAGATTACAGTATATTAAAAGCAAACAATGCATCAATATTTAAAACAAACTTACCTTCGTTAACGTCGGCACCTTTACTTCCTTCTTTTAGCAATCCTCTTGCCTTTATTTCATCAAAATCCTTTGCAATTTACAAAATCTTGCAAAAATGAAATATATTTGCAAGAAATCATCAAATCAATTTCGCTGTCGTCAATCGTCATGCAGCCGTTATAATGCCAATTTTAAATTGGACCAATCAGTGTTGGCTATTCATTACAGTCCGCTATATTATGAGATCAGTGAGGATGACCACCCACCGAAACACGCACAGTGACCCACGCCCGCGATATTTGATTAACTTTAGACTTTGCTAATGCTTCCCTTCCCCGGGTGTAAATAGCCTGGGGGAATTAGTACCCTCGCACGGCGCTTCGCGCCGTCGGCTCGGGGATTATAATCATAATATTAGGAAATTTTAAATAAGTGTAGGTTATAATAGTATAAAGTGTAATTACTCTGCCCCAGGGGGCGGTTGTTCTATGCTGGACTAGCACTAACCCTGGGTTAAAATTTAGCCTGCTGTTTTAGATTGTGTATTTCTACACGTCTGTTTATTTCAAAACTTCAAAGATCTCTGAAGAAATATTTCCAAATTTATAGACAAGCTGTCAGGTTAATTAACCTAGGGTTAAGCTAATCCAGCCTTGAACAACTGCCCCCTGGAGAAAAATTGACTGTACAGTGCATAATTATATGTGTAACCTATAATTATATATTTACTAATAAATACATTTAATATTCTTATCTAGTATTTCTTCATATTAAATTATTACGGCTTCAAGTGAACATGACAGAGGTACAGTTGCAGCAACTTGATGTTGCAGAAATAAGAGGAAATAGTTTTATGCAAGAAATAAAACTCACTTGGTGGCAGTTATGTGACATATCTGCTTGGTAGATAATATACAGATAATTTTATCTGTAGGGAAACTATACTGTCACATAACTGTGACAGATATGTTATTGGGCCAAATTCCTATATGTTGCAGATATGTGACAGATATCTGCCATATAACTGTGACAGATATCTGTCACATAACTGTGACAGATATCTGTCACATAACTGTGACAGATATGTTATGGGGCCAAATTCCTATATGTTGCAGATATGTGACAAATACTTTCGTACATATGTTTTGCAGATATTTTACAGAACTGTGACATATATCTGCCACATATCTGTCAGTTGGTTATACATACATAATTTATTCAAGATAACATTACAAAAATCTTGAACAGGAAATCGTGAGGTTAACCCTGCAATAAAATAATGTTGATGCAACATTTTTTAGTAACTACACATTGAATCAGAAAGAAAAGTTGTCAAAATAGGTCGCGACGGTTGTTTGCAAAATGTCGCTTCTCTCTGAAATGGCTTCCTTTGCGGGAAGCCATAAAATTGAAGTCCTAACAAAAACTACCTTAGCAGTTCTTTTGGGTCCATTGCTCACTTATTTATCATGAAATCGCTTCACTAGAACATTTTTAATACTGTCTATGGAAAACTTTGTAATTTCTGAACTAAAAGTTTATGGTTTCGAGGTGTTTATTTTATAAAATAGCACGCGCAACAAAATGACACTAATGTGGTTTCTCACATCTGACAAACAACCAAAAATGAAAGTCCTTATTTCACCCTTTTATAGCTATGTGGAATACCTGAATATTAGGTTATCTTTTTCATTTGAACATATAGATAACATTTCTACACAATAGTCCTTATGAAGGCTTATGTCAAACTAAAAAAGCGATTGTTTTTCAGAGCCAGACTTCAAAAGAGAACGCATGTCTGACATTTTATAGCAGCCTACATTGGTGCGCAAAATAATTTTGGCTAAAAACCGTTGCTTTTCCAACAAAAACATGAGAAAATTGAGCTAAAAGTCTTACCTGATGTATGTTTAAAATGTTTTTCTTTTTATGGTGTTTTTCAGTGCTTTGAGTAGAGAGGTTAATAGCTTTTGGTTTTGTCACCACAATTTGCCTTTGATTTATTTTGAAAATAAATAGATTCTAGTACCATATATGTCCTTTTAAATATATTTGAAGTAATTAAAAACTTGAAAGATGTACAAGCACTGTGTTTTGGCTTGCACACTTTGTTGAATTTGAACACTTAGTTACTGTTCTAAATTTCATGTTGTAAACATCTTGCCCCAAAAAAGCAAAGGAGTATATTTTACAATTTTTGATCATTTTCTAATTCATATCCCAATAGATGAAAATTGGTTATAATATAGATACATACTAATTTAGTGAATAATTTTTTTTTTGGTTTTTATATAAATTTATGGAGATAATATTGCCCCTTTAGGTGATGAGTGACATGAAAAACAAAATGTCACTGCTTTACAAATAAAAATTCTCATTGAAAAAACTAATGATATATATAGGTATGCAAGTTCATTTCAACTAAATTTGGTCAATCATATATCAATAATATTAGGTTGAAAAGACCAGATTTTTTCATGCAACTGTTTCTGAGATATTGCCATTTTGACGAAAGCTCTTGAATTCAATCACGTATTCGCCATATTGCTTGGACATTGGGAGGTAGAAACATTGTAACAGCTTGCGCGTTAATGAGTTAAACGTATTTTTGTTTCATATCATGTAGTTCTTCGACCCTAATGATCCACGGGAAGGAGGTAACAAATTATATAACAATGTTATGTTGTGGGAGTTTGATATTTCAACATCACCAACATCCCAAGCAATCCCACCATGTGACCCAGATAGTCAAGATGATGAACTTGGATAGTGTACTTCCACCAATAGATTTACATCAGCCAACTGATTGTAATTGTTTCAATTTACCAATAAATCCTGTTTGCCTGATGGACATTCATACACACCGAATGTTAGATGATGAAGCACCTAGTGGTAGCAGTGTTGATGGTGAACCTGAAGGAGGTACAGTGAATGTAGAGAATGAAATGGAGGAAATTCAGCAGTTGACTGAGATGCTGGATGTGGAAGACACTTAAGGTGGTGAATATGAAGACGATGAGAGCAAGGATGAGAGTACTGATGGAAATACTGAATTTGATGTTAATATGTATCCTGAGAAATTTGTCATGGTTGGATCCTGGCAAGAAGAAAGGTATCAAGGTGCTCTTGCGATATGCATGTGGAGAAGGTCAGCAAATAAAGAATTGGACTCCAAAGTGGACATGAACCAGACAATGTTCGAGATACATATGCAGTGAAATTTTTGGTGTTTCACAATGAAAAGTGGCATATAATTGGTTATTGTGGAGTCAACAAAATTCCTAAACTTAAGTGTGCTCTGCAGCAAAATGAGATACAATCAATCGGATTAGACAGTTTGAAAAGAACATATGCATACAGAGAAAGAAAGTTACTATACAGTGCCTCATTAATTGTCAAACGTGGACCATGGGATAGAGATGATCCAATGAATAACTACAACAGCCATATAAATTGGTAAGTATTAACACTACGTAACTTGCAATTCAAAGAGAAAGTTAAATTCAAATTTTAATTCACTCTTAGGTGGTGCCAGCATTCTCCCTTTGATGAGTTTAGAAATAGTAAAATAATAAAGTATGCATTTAAAGTCACAATACAACTCAATCATGCTATTTATTTGGGAGAGCATATAGATCACATGCGTTATAGATCACTTTCATAAATGGCTGTCAGTTAATATATACATTGTTCAGAAGTAATTAACCCGTTAAGTTGCATTTGACCCGAATGCACCGTACTTTATTATTTTTGCCACACAGTTTTACTAGTCAATGGGATAGTGCTGGCACTCATTTGGATTACAATCAGGCCAGTTTTGTACCATTTTATATATGTAAGTAGAGAGCAAAACCCATGGAGGTAATTGGAACTTAAACCTTCCTCCTTTGGATGTCCTAACACATCAGGGATGGATTTACTGGGGGGGGGAGGTGCACACACCCCCCCTAGCCCTGGCCAGATGGGGTGCAGGGGGGGTGCTATTTTGATAAAGCAAAAAAAAACGAAATGAGATACAATAATTTGAGTAATAACATGATGATAAGTGAACTGTGAACAACAATTACAATTCAAATACAGTACTTGATGGGCGGGCAGAACACATGACTGACACAACTCGGCAGTCGGCAACAGCGCACCCCCCTACCAGATCATGCTGGATCCATCCCTGTAATACATTATACTATTATCAGAAGTAGATTTCTACCTAGTACACAAGAACAGCTGTCATACATTTCCCCTCTAATTTAGAAGCTGTCAAGTCTCAGAACCTGGAACATGCTGCCCCCAATTATCAATTACTTTGAACCTGTGAGTATGATTCATATCATTCTGTATACTACACACAAAAATCTCACATCTTGTAACAAGTCTGCCAACAAGCCGTCAACAATTCGCACTGCTTGTCACAAGTTGTCAACATGGGTGCCTCACAGTGCTTAATTTTTGGGTTGGGCAGACCCAGAGGCCCCAACTCCAATGTGCCAAATGGGGGTCCCCAGGTTCAGGTTGTAGAGCAAAAATATGGGCCAGGGAGGCCTCTGCTACAGTAGTATGTTACAATGTCATCTTCTGACCATGATCATAATTCTCTAAATTCTCCACCCAAAGTCTGGTAAATTGCATTTCAGAGCTCGAGATTCTATATTCAAAATTCCCTAAGAAAACTTGTGCGCAAACTGTGTGACACTTGACTCCTACAAGGGGAGTATTTGAAAATTTTGAATATGTTATGCCACTGGGTAGTATAAAGATTCTACAAACCAATAGAAAGCATTCCAAGATTGGTCATCTCTCTCTTGTCTTATGTTATTAGTCAGCTCTCACAAAGTTTGGTCTTTCAGCAAATGGTATGGGACATACTGAATTGGTAGACAGTACGGTTTCTTGTTGCGACGTTCATCAGATAGAAGAAAGATGAAAACATGAGTTGCTGTTGGTTGTCTTCTTTTTATAAACAAATTCCTCATTATTTCTCCCAATCAGATGTCTTTTCACACATGCTCTTCTGTACATGCAACACTTGAGAACTTTGACCAACAGAGACTTTCAATGTTTTAACATAAGAAAGCAGACACTGACATTGTTGTAACAGTTCACTATATTCGACTCTCTCCCACGAAAGTTCCATAAGTACTTTCTTTGATGTGTTTGGTTTTTTAAATTTTTCTGTGTATGCCTTCTGTGCCTTCATTACACCTTGTGTTAAAAACTGCTTATCAGTTTCCAGATCTGTTAAGACTGTCTCAATCATGTTCATCACTTTCTCAATATCATTATGCGGTGATGCCAATTTTTTAAATGTCTTCAATCTTTGTTCATAATCATTTCAGAATCAATCAGAATCAAGTTCTGAAGTGTGCCATCTCCTAAATCAGAGTCTCCATTCCAAACACCTTTAACTGATTGCTGAAGTGCTGGTATAATATCACACCCATCACCTTTGATCCAGAAACGACCTGAAGGATATGCAGCTTTCATGTCTTTTAGTCCTTGTTCCTAATATGAAAAGAAATACTTATACATTGTTTAACCTGCACAGGAATCTGCACACACGCAGCTTTCATGTCTTTTAGTCCTTGTTCCTAATATGAAAAGAAATACTTATACATTATTTAACCTGCACAGGAATCTGCACACACACAGCCTCCAGAAAATGGAAAATGTTGGGATTTTTGGTCTTATTTTGTTCAAAATCCTTGTTTTTATTCTTATTTATATTAGTTCAAAATGAGCATATAAATTTCTGGGAGGGAGGGGGGAGGTGCAAAATATTTGGGAGGTGGTGCATCCTCCTATCCAGAAAATCTGTCCATGGTTTTTGCACAGCCTTTTTGCATGTAACTAAAAGGTAGGTAACATACCTGTATTATAGGCTCATCACTGAATTGTGATGATGCAGTTTTGGTTGCCACTGTCCTGGTTGAAATACAGGCAACATTCACCATTGCCTAAAATCGATACAGACAAGCAAAAAAAATTTAATTGACACAGTTGTTATAATTTAAAATGCTTAAAATGAGTTACCATTGTTTTGAATTTTAGTACAGTTCTAATATACTCATTTTTACAGGGGTATAATAGAAACATTTTCCAAGCCTTAATTTCTTATACAGTGTGTATCAAAATAATTCGAATCCAAATTTGACAGACTGCTGTTTATAAAATACTAAAGTAAACCATATAATTTTTATATGGCAATAAAGAATAGCCTATCAGGTTTCCGATTATATCGTTCTTATATCAATAAGATCAAAAATGACCAAGAAATCATGTGTTAAAACTGGCTGCTCGAAATCAAATTTTTCCGCCGATGGGAATTCGAAGTGAGACGTACAAACAAAAGATAATGCAAATTTAATTAATCAACAAACTGTTATGTAGCAAAATTTACATAAATTCATGTTCATTTAAAGAGATTTAAGCTCCTATGCTTTCAACATTTTGAACGAGAAGAAATTCGTGTTAAATTTGCATTTTAGTTTTCAGTGATGATTAGCATTTCAAAGCCTTGTGGGACTAACTTTGAAAGAAAAAATGTCCAATTCCCATCGGCGGAAAATTTTGATTTTTACGGACTTTTTTTGTCAAAGCAATACTCCTTCATTTTCCAACTAAATGACACGTACAGCATGTCATTTGAAAGATAAATAAATGAACTTAACAATGGTGTAAAAACTAACCGAATTTGTCAAATATATTCTGCGTTATTACACGCCAAATTTGGATTCGAATTATTTTGATACACACTGTATAGTTATACCCTACTGGCATTCAAAGTAGAGGTGTGTAAATCCGATCCGATTTTAAACATTACCCAATTGTCGGATTATAAACGTCCAATCCGATGCACCTCTAATGCAAACTCTTATCAATTATCAAACACAATTAATTGCCATACAATACTACTGTACATTAAATATATATTTAACAAAATTAAAGACCAAACAACAGTGAACAATAAATATATAATGGTTGAATAAACAATCCAAAGTACTGACCATTATTGGATAACCATGATAATTTTCATCAACACCACTCCACATTGGGGCCTCTGAACAGACGATTAAAACATGTGGGGAACTCTGCACACATACTTTCATGCCACTGAAGAAAGTCATCAGGCATCTTAATCTAGATGTGAGAAAAATGGAAACAATGACATTATAATTCCTGTTTTATTTTTTATCTAAGCCATACTTGGTTTGTATGTTGTTGCTGTATTGAATAATTAAAACACAATAAATTAACCAACATCCATTGATACAAATCATATTTTTATCAATATTTCAGGATTTTTCACTCTAGGAAGTCATACTGTATTGTAACCAGTATTTTACAATAATGTACAGTGACATTTACAAACAGCCATGTGTCTACAGTATATGCTCAATATTGAAAATAGCAAACATATTCATTAACTTTTGGCATGATATCATATTTGGCATGATATCATATTAGAGAGTATTGAAAGGGGGATAGGAACATTTATGCAATTGCATTAATATCCAAAATCAGTACCTGTTTTACATGTGTACAACTGAAGAACTCTATTTGATATTCAACCAATCTATTTGATATTCAACCAATCCAAATGGCATTCTGTCCATTGGAAATACAGGCTCATTAGTACCAGGTTTAGTATTGCACAATGCCAAGGCAAATTTATACAACAGGTTGTTCTTGTTGTTCATTTTTAACAGTTCCATTGCTTTAATAGACATTGAACAGTAATTACCAGGATTAGATGTTATATTATGTTCTAAAGCCAGGTGCAGAAACAGTTTGTTCAACACATTTTCTAATTGATCATTGTCCAGAAGAGTTGTAAGCTTTTTAAATGCATTTTCAACTGTAGGCAATGATTGAGTATTGCTTGTTGGTGGTGGTGGTGGTGGTGGAGGAGGTGTTGCTGTTGCCTGACTACTTATCTTAGGTTTAGCTTTAACAGATCTAGAATTAGCTTGCCTCCTATCAATCACAAGTTCTGCTAAACCATCAGATAAAGTCAAACCATAATGGACTTCAGCATCTTCCAATGTTGCAAACTTTTTCCTGTACATCGTAGTAACTCATCCTCGCAGCCGGCGATCTGTATAAAAAGCATACAAAACGGAATAAAGAATTAATAATGAATGGGAGCACATTTTGATGATCTTACTAAAATATCCTCAATCTCACCTGAAAACATATTATCTCTAGGGAAATTGCTAGATAGTATACTTCAAAATAAGGTTTCCGTTTTTATATCAATTTTTTAAATAAGTTAGGGTTAGATTAGGGTTGTGGTTAGGGTTAGGATTAGGGTTTAGTTTTGCGTTAGGATGGTTTTTTCTACGTTATAAAAACGGAAACCTTATTTTGAAGTATACTTTCTAGCAATCACCTTATCTCTAGTCTATGTTTAATTATGAAGGGGGTAGATGTACATATGAAAAAGGGTTAATCAACCCTTTTTAATTAACCAGGTAGTGCACAATATGCCGGTCCTAATAAAATTCTTCTCATACTGCTATACCACCAGACAATTTTACATGTATGTATATATATAATATCGAAATAACTAGAAGATTACACTAGGTAGGACAATGGTATGAAACATATCCATATCGCAAATGCGGATTTGAACCGCAGCTCGTTCGCAATAAACTCACAAGATAAAGGATAATATAGATATTTCCTACGCAATTATATTCTCTCTCTGAAGTCTCTAAAAACCAACTCAGTTTGCTTACGTCTACAAAAATTTAACCTGTCAATCAAAAGTCCATATATGGATATCGCGTGCACTTAATAGTTTTGTGTTCATGACTATAATTAGGTATTAATTAAATATCAATATGTTGTACAATTCTCAACACCCTCCCCCTGTTTGATTATGCAGTCAGCAAACAATAAATTGTGCTACTTATCAGTTCAGTCATCTTCACTTTCAACAACGTCTTCCACTCTCAATTCTGCTGCGACTGCAGCGTCTCTTCTTCGTCTCCGCACTGATGCTTCAGGATTCAAGTCACTTTTTTCACGTTCGAGTTCGATAGGTTTGTCACATGACAGTTCTAGTGGATACAAGTGTTGCACAGGACGCTCCAAATAACTTTTCCCAGCTCTCAACTTAGCTCCTCTAACGATTCCATCTTTTCCTTTGATAAACTCTTGTACTATTCCCAATTTCCATAGGTTTCGGTTTTTCTCATCACCACGAATTATAACAACTTCGCCTACTTTTAGACCACAATCCTTCGAGCCGTCACTTTTATTCACGCAATGTCGTTCCCTCAATCCACGAATGTATTCTTTCGTCCAACGCAACCACATTGCTCCCTTTCCTTTGGCTAAATACTTCGCTCTCTTTCTCAAACTCTGATCTTCCAAGTGGTGGTGTTTCAGCTCCGGTAGTTGATTGGTTTGACTAAACAGCATCGAGTTCGGAGTTAGTATAGGTTGCTGAATATCTTCTTCAACATAGCAAAGTGGTCGTCTATTCAAGGCTACCTCAACATCGATCAATACTTCCTCTAGTTCTTCGTCTTTATTTGTTTGTAAGTTCAGCTTCAAACGATCTTCTTCCACTTGTTCCAGATAGTTGTTCTGGACTCTCTGTACCCAGAATTGTCTCTGCTCTTCAATCTCCCGCGCTGTGATTGGTCCAACTGTTCTGCTCGTTTTGGGATTTCTTGCATTTCGAACGAATCTCATCAGCCATGCGCACACTTTCAGGGTTCTCCACAAGGTGGTTTTCGTAAGAAGGTCATCAAGGTCGTCTGTTTGGTGTTCGACTGCCACGTTCACAATCTGTTTTATCACCTTCGATTCCTTCTCCGACTCAACACTCGGCGCAGTAACAATGTCTTTGGGCTACTTTCCAGGATCTGACAACCAATCCGGGCCATGCCACCAAAGACGGTGTTCTTCAACGACGATCCCGCTTCTGCTGGCAACGTCCGCTGGATTCTGATCGGTCGGGACGTGTTGCCACTTTACATGCTGATGCTCACAGATCTTCCTTACGCGATTCCCGACAAACTGCTTTAATTCTCCGCTGCCGAGAATCCAGTAGAGTGCCACGCTGCTGTCGAGCCAGCACGCGACATTGGTGATGGGAAACCCTTGCAATGCTGTTTCAACGTTGATAGCCAAGTTAACGGCCATGTGGCCTGCTAGGAATAGTTAGTCCTGCTTTAGCCAACCGTGCTTTGGAGGCCACTAATCCTTGATACGTCTTCGTTGGTCGAGCAACAACGGCATAGACAACAGCTGCTACTCCTTTACCACTGGTGTCTCCAAAACTGTGTAGTGAGACTTCGTTTATGGGCTCTTGACTTTGAGGTAGCGCTCTCGGTATTTCTACAAGACACGGAAGTTGGCTTTCCCATTTCAGCCATTTCTTAACCAGATGTTTAGGCAAGGTAGCATCCCACAGACATTTTTCGTTACAATGCTCACAATAAAGAAGTTTTCCTCCAAGGATAATTGGCGAGACAAGTCCGAGAGGGTCATATATCTTAGCTACTTTACTGAGAATTCCTCGTTTGGTTGGTGTGCTCTCGTTCTCTGGAAACGTAACTCCGATTGTGTCTTTCTCTTTGTTCCAGTTCAGTCCAAGTAAAGTTGTTTCACCGCTTTTTACACCGAGTTGTTCTTTAGCGTGACTAAGGCTTGCTTCTTGATCTGGAATCTCTTCCTCTAAGGATTTCACGTTAGAATTCCACTTGTTTAGCTTTAACAACGCAGCTTCGAAAATTTCGGTTGTAGCACTCTTTAGCTCTTTCACTTCTTCGACCGTTTGTCCGCCGGACAGGATATCATCCACGTAAAGACTGCGCTCGATCTCTTCAACTTGTTTTGGTTGCTCAGTTCGTGCTAAGTTCAAATGGTGCTGTATTACTCCCCCAAGGAGGAACAGCGAAGGTCCAAGACCAAACAATGCTCTGGTGAAACGTAACGTGCAGACTCGCAGTGGATCTTTGTTCTCTAGCCAGTGGAAACGCAACGCATCTCGGTCGTCAGGATGGATTCTCACCTGGAGGAAAGCCTTTTGCATATCTGCTGCGAGTGCGATGGTATGAAATCTTCCTCGCACCAAAACTCTCCACAGTTGGTTCTGTAGCGGAGGACCCACTTCCAGGCAGTCATTTAGGGATGGTGTTGATTCAATAGCTCTAGCCGAGGCGTCGTAGACAATGCGTGTTTTGGTGGAAGCAGCATTCTCTCTGACTACCGTCTTGTGGGGAATATAAAACTCTCTTCCGATGGGAGCCATGTCCGCTTTCTCTACCATTCCATCTCTGAGCTGATCTTGAATGATAGCGTCGTATTCATCCAGCATTTCGTTCTTCTTAAGGCGTTGTGTAAGCGTTTTCAGTAGTCTCAGACTTCCTTGTTCATTCGATGGAAGCGGAGGGTGGTTTCCCTTCCATGGAAGGTGAGTTTGGTACCAACATTCTGGGCTGCGCTCTAGTTGTTCAAGGAACTCGTAATGTACCATACTTTGGTCACCACAAGGACTGTCTTCCAACCCAAGAACATCCATTCTGCAAAGGTTTTCGTAATCGCTGGTGGTGGTCTGAGTCAAGAACATACTTTCCATGTTTACTTCTTTTCCTGTCAACATTATTGTCCATCCAAATTTGGTATGTTCAGCTACCAGCTCCCCCATAGCCCCTGCTCGTTGAGCTTCAGACGTCTTGATCTTCGTGTATTCATTCGTTCCCAGTATAAGATGAACCGGAAGTTTGCTCTTCTTATCAACATCATCCATACGAACTCCACGTAGATGGTTATACTTCTTAATCATTTCTGGATAATCAGGGTTATGTAGCGACAGCAGTTCGGACCTTTCAATTCTAGTCACGCATACCGGAATTTCGCAATCGCCCTTGAGGTTGCTCACTTTGATGTCGTAGACATGGATATTCTTTGTCTCGATCCCATGATGGTTTGAATACGTCGGTTCAGTGTGGTTTTGGCCTTTAGCTTCAGTAGATCTAACAAATATGCCGATGCATATGAGCCTGTTGCACCGGTATCCAATAGTGCTCGACATTTAGTCCCATTTACATTGACCACTACGACTGGATGACATACTTTCTCGCCTTCGGTTGATGCTGTCATTGCTTTCTGTTCACCGACAACTTTATCACATATCGAGGTGTGATGTTTCTGTTTACAGTTAAGACAGTTCGTTCGACTTCGGCACTGGGCTGCGCGATGATTGTTCCCAGTGCAGTTAAAACACAGACCTTTATCTCTTAACTTCCGTTTCCGGTCTTCGATCGACACACATTCCTTACACTCGGATGACTTATGAGAATTATCATCACAATATACACAGCCTCTTTGATGTGACCCACTTTGTTGTATGTGGAAACTCTTGCACAATCCTGAGGGCTTAATGGGAGGTGGGGATTCATTCAATGGGATAGGGTGGATATCTTTCCAGATTTGTAAAGCTTTAACTAACTCCGGGAACCCCCACATTTGCCATTCTGTTTGCCCTCTAACTAGGTCAGCCTTGATTCCTTTCAACTTGTTTAAGACGCTCCGCACCAGTCCCCAACACTCGCTTAATTTCCCCAAACTTTCCAAAGACTGTACGTTATATGCTAGTTTGTGATAAAATTCATGCACTTTTAAAGGCTGAGAACCCACAACGACTGGTAGAGCCATAATATTTTCGATATACGTATTTACGATTTCACTAACCTTCCCATGTCTTCAAGATGTTCTTGGCTCTTTCGTAGCCTTCGGTGGTAAATTGTAAACTGTCGATACCTTGACGAACTTTGGGTTCCAAGAGTTCCTTTAAATATGTGAACTTTGTCACAGCTGCCATGTCTGAGGAGTCAATTTCTGCTTCGAATTTATTCCAGAACGGTAACCAGTTCTCAAGTGCCCCGTCAAATTTCATAATCTCAAGTTTCGGTAATCTTACTTGCTCTGATTTCGCCGCTTTCGTTGTTGTTGTATGTTTTATCGCTTTTTGAAGTTCGCGAATGCCTCTTGTTTTCGCCATTTATATTGCTCTGCTTTCGACGCCACATCATCTAAATATTCTCGCAAGCGTGTTATTTCAGTGTCGCCTTCATCGATTTTTTCTTCAATTTCACGGCCCCAAGCTTCTACGTCTTTAAGTAATTCGCCTTTCTCGAGTTTGCTCTGCTCGACCTCTCGTTTTGACTCTTCGATCAACACTATGACCTTGCTTAAAGCATCTTTATGCCTTTCGATTTTCTCAGGAATACCCTTGTCGAGAACGTCATTTGTTTTGTTTATTGTAAGACTTAGTAGTTGTATTTTTCCTTTTAGTTTCTCTTCCATCGTTCGTTTGAGATTCTTTTATTACCATATTTCGTTCGGAGGTGCCACTATATCGCGAATGCGGATTTGAACCGCAGCTCGTTCGCAATAAACTCACAAGATAAAGGATAATATAGATATTTCCTACGCAATTATATTCTCTCTCTAAAGTTTCTAAAAACCAACTCAGTTTGCTTACGTCTACAAAAATTTAACCTGTCAATCAAAAGTCCATATATGGATATCGCATGCACTTAATAGTTTTGTGTTCATGACTATAATTAGGTATTAATTAAATATCAATATGTTGTACAATTCTCAACAATTCTTGTACAATTCTCAACATAATTAAATATCAATATGTTGTACAGTTCTTGGGTACAGTAGTTACATAAGAATGTTAGAGGAAGTACTGCATTGTATATGCTTGGCACCATCACTCCAAAAACTGTTCTTTTCACTGAATGCTGGCCACTCTCCAACAGAACTTTTTCCATACTTTGGATCTGTTTTGGCAACAGATATGAATTCAACAAATACTTTATCTTCATCAAATGTCCATTTATGATGTTTTACTGGGGATTTATTTGGAGGAGTCAGTTTAAACTTTCTGATAGGAAACTACAAACCAAACAGCAAAAGTGAAAAAGTGAGAGGGGCAATGTCATACACTGTCATGAGTTTATTGATAGATGAACATGAGGTATAGAAGAAACACATCTCCTATACATCTGTAAGTCTTTACAGAAATACTGTTTAAAGTCAGTCTTAAAACAATTGCCCAATTTTTGGAACAGAATTCTGCCCAACTAAACTATACGACTATACAAAACAGAATATAGCAAAAGTACCCCATTTTCAAACCGCGATTACTCATTGGTTTACTGGAGCAAATTCATGTTTTAAAGCAACAGTAGAAAGAATAAATCTTCCCTGATTTGATGATGTGTTTTGTTTTTATTTTTCTAAAAAAAAGTGAATTTACTTCTGCATTATATCAAGGTCATTTTATTGGCGTGGCCACTGACCCGGAACAAGCATAATTACAATACGTAATTAGCATAGCTAAAAAACAATTCCTGTACCAAATAAGTCAAAAATAGTTTAATAAGGTTCTTAAATAATACGAAGCCAAAATCGCAATGTATTTCAACAACTGTTCGCCAAACGTTGGTTGAAAATCGTAATTGTGAATAATAATGAGACGTAATGCATTTTGGGAAGACCCTCATTCCTCCTTTGGATGGAAAGTAAGTTGTAAGTTTTTTTTAGTAAGATGGAAAGTAAGTTTTTCCATGGAAAGTAAGTTTTTTAGTAAGAATTCCAAGTTTGGTTATACGAAAATGTTTCTCATGAACAACGTTTCTGCAAACTTTGCAACACTGGTGAAGTGGAAAACAAATATCACTCAGCCTTATCTTGCCCGAAATACGAAGAATTAAGAAATAATTCTAACAACATTCTCAAAAACCTATTTTATCTCAATAACACAATGGAAGGAAAACAAAAACTGTTTCAGCATGCGATGTCTTTAGACGATCCAGTTCTTGTTAACCTGCTTTCTAAGTATCTTTCTCTGTTTTTTGGAGAGAGATAAAAGCCTCAAATCCATGGAAGATTAGGGATAACAATTAGACTAAAAATCCCTTAGATAAATAATAAAACAAAATAAACAAAAAAAAAGTTATATCTTTAAATTATATACTGTTTTCCTATTTGTAAATAGCTTCTTACTATATATTTTAATAGTTATAGCTTCGACATTACTGACATTATATATACTCTACGCTTAGCAATACCTGTAATTAGGTCATGCAAATAAAGCTTTATAATAATAATACTAGTATAACATATATCATGTTTTGTAGAAGGTGTATAAACGGTATGATTGTGCAATATGTGTTTGTTATATTAATAAATATGAAAAAATAGTATAGTTTCACTACCCATTGGGTTGTAATATACTGTGTTTAATGAAGTTTTAGATGAACATTGAGTCAACTGTATTTATTTTTAATAGGTCAGTCTACAGCTGAGAATCAGGAGAATGTTATTAATTTAATAAATTTAAAGGTATTGCATACCTATCTATTAATAGGTATGCAATATTGCAGTCAATTGTTTGTTATTTATAAAAAATGTTAATTAAAGTGCCTATGACAAACTTTCACCCCAAATGTTTATGATTGCATTGTAAAGATCACTTAAAATGACTTACTAATTTCTTTTATAGAATTTTGGTATTTTGCTTCCTTTGCAAGGTATTGAACTTTGTTTCATATGCAAATATCACCAGTGTGACATTACATCGCATAATGACCTTTTGAAAACGCAATATTTTACCTTCAAAAAATATTTTTACAAACAAATACAGAGGGTTAAATGAGGTTATATATTAACCAAAGTTAATAGCTAGTGAACCACTCGTGATCCGGAAATTGGGTGTCACTGTTGAGGTACGCCTGGAGTTGCTTGTGCAACATATGCTCATTAGCTGTTTGACATGCAAAGTGTACGGAACATTTCCAAAGTAAAGCAACATCTATCGACTGGACTGCAGCATTTCAATCGACAGAATATCTCTTTGGCCTCCACACAGCACTCGCTGGTATGGCCAATTCTACATCCTGACCTGATTAGTTGGAGCAGTTGGGCGACTCTATTCCATCACAGCCAACTACATCAAGAGCGTCAGCACCAGGTAACTTGTCTGTGGCGCAAGGTATGTTTAATGCCACTTCTGTTGTCAGTGCTATAAGTGGTAGTGTCCCTGAAGCAAATTCTTCAATACCCCCACCTCAACCATCGCTTAGTGTGTTCCACCCCACCAATGACATCCCCTCCACTACTCCTGCCCCAAACATCCCCAATCCCAATCTTTGTCCCGAGAAAGCCTTAAGCCTGGGCCCTGGTCCTGCCCCAATCCCACCTAAGTTGGTCTCAAGAATTTTCTCCGATAAGTACATTGAACTAACAGAGCTTTGCTAGCACAACGGAAGCTAGCAGAACTAACAGAGCTTTGCTATTGAAGGTTCAACTATCATCCCAAGTCAAACTTGGACATTTTGTTGTGGGTTGAATGTTTCAATAGTTATATGTCAGTTATTGTTACTTTTCGGCCGCATCGGGCACATAATCTACTCGCGTATATGGTGCTTATTATACGTACAGCCAGGCGTTTCAGCAATAATCTCCAGGATTGGAGCGTTATGCAAACAGACTTGTATAACTTCCACACAGCAGCAATGAATCGCGTGCCTGATGCACAATTGTTTAATTCTCGTCGCACTAATGTTGGATCAACCAGGGTGATGCCTTATGCCGAACCCAGTGGGAACCAGACTAGTCCCCAGTTTTGTATGTCTTGGAATGAAGGGTCCTGTGTCGCGCCGAGAGTTTCTTGTAGATTTCGCCATGCATGCAACATCAGTGTCTGCGGAAACCCCACCGCCTAATCGACCATTGGGCTTTCCAAAGTCGGGACAGGCGAAATTCTCCCAAACGCACTCACAAACGGTCAACCTCAAGACCAAAATACTAACAATGATGTTAATAACTTGTTATCTTTGATTCCTTCTTCATTTTTTTATGTTAAACCCGGTTAAAGTTAATTTTTCCCAGAGGATCTCTTTGGCTAATTCCCCTATCAATGTGGACAATTTAGAGATGCAATTACTTGTACACCCAGACAGGACAGACTTAAAATACAATGTGTTCTTTCTGGTTTTCGCGAGGGATTCCGTATTGGTTTCACTCTGATTCTGTAAAATTAAAGTCTGCCTCTAGTAATTGTCCGTCCTCAGCTGAACATTCCGGTGTTATCAATGATTATTTAACCACTGACATCCACGCTGGTAGAGTTTTTGGCCCATTGAAAACCCCACCATTTCCAAACTCACAAATTAGTCGTTTTGGTGTGATCCCCAAGAAAAACAAAGTTAATGTGTGGCGGCACCTTATCTTAGATTTGTCTTATCCGCATTGGGCTTCACTGCAGATGACAGTGCGCCCAATGGCTCGCCTTTGCCTGCAAGCTAACAAACTTTAATGTTGTTCACTGCACACCTATCCCGAACAATTAAAGCAAGTTCAATTAAAGTTTATCTGTCAGGAGTTCGGTCTTTGCATATTGAACAGGGTTTCAAAAACCCCTTAGAGAACTGTGTTCATTTGGAGCGTGTTTTACGCAGAGTCAAACGGTTACAAGGGACTGGGACCAAGCAGCACCTGCCTATCACTATAGCTATTCTTCATAAACTCTACAAAATTATTGACTTAAATCACTGCTTGGATGCATTATTTTGCGCTGCTTGTTTGACAGGATTTTTCGGTCGGGCTCAGGCAAATCCACAATTGCCTCTTCATCTTCAATAGTCTTACAATCGGCTATTTGTAATTTGACAAGTTGACAAACTGTTTCATCACGATCATCACCATAAGACGGGCATGTACACTGTTCCTTGTGTACATCACAGCACATGCGAACTGGGTCGAAAGGATGAATGACTGAATACCCAAAGTAATCAAGGATAATCTCTCTGCGGCACTCATTTGCTTTCACAAGTGTTCTCATTACTTTTCCTGCATGTTTTTTTGGCTTTGCTTATGTCATACGAATAAATAAAAAATGCAAGGAGATAGCTGCCAACATGCAAAAGTGAAAGCCAAAATTAAGCAGCAAAAAATTGAAAAAAAGCTATGAATGTCAAAAATGCAACAAAAAGTTCAAATCAAAATACTGGGCCAATGGCCCACATCGGTACCCAACAGACAAAATGAGAAATTAATCCACGTAAGCCAAAATTAAGCAGCAAAAAATTGGAAAAAAAGAACATTTGAAACAGTTACCACTAATTAACATGTAAGTAAGCTAGTATGGTAAATATATGGTAATAATATCGCTGCACGCAATTCAACAGGCGGCAATTGACACTGGTATTCCCTTGGCCCCAGAAAAGATTGAGGGCCCTACAACATGTTTGACTTTTTGGGAATAGAACTCGATTCACTCCGATCTATGACAGCGTGCCTACCTTCGGACAAATTGTCTGACCTACTAAACATTATTCGACTGTGGGTGAACAAAAAACAGTGTAAACACTAGAAATACATGCATGCAGTAACCCCTCGCCAATATTTCCATACATTAAACATGAAGTATTCAGAAATGACCAGCACTGAACGCAGGCTCGTGTTCAAGTGTTGCCATGATAACACAATATTCTTAAATTTTTATTTTCATATATTTTGTACAAAACTGCAAAATATTTGAAAGATTCGTCCTTTTAACTTGCAACAATAAATTTCCAAAATATATACTGTAGGTATATTATTTTGCATTTTGTGAGCTTGGATTTAATGTAAAATTTAACTTGAAATGCTTCGTAAAATGTTTTGAAATGTTCATTCAAGTAAACTACATTTTGCCGATAAATTGTTTTTACTTAACAAAACATGATCAGTTTAATACAAATGAAATAAAATTGTTAGGTAATTTCAGTTCAGTGTTCAAATCAATTTGTTCGCCTTTACATTTTAAGATTTTTTCTCAAATCAAACGGTAATTTATGAAACTTAGAGCTTCTATAGTTCATGTTTTTTATTATGTAAAAAGTTAAAGCAACAAAATTCGTAAACATTTTAAAAATATTCAAAGCAAACTTGCCGTATATTTCCCGATTTCCCGTAGTAAACCAATTCTTCTCATTTCTTCAAACAAAATTGCTTCAAGCTTGTTGTATATGAAACGATTTTCCAAATATATGTCTTTTAAAATTGAAATCTTGCTTGCCATATTTTTGCGATAAGTGAGGATGACCACCCACTCAAAATCGTCGCTCGTTGGTAAGCGCCCGCGATGATTGATGAACTTTAGACTTCGCTAATGCTTTCATTTCCCCGGGTGTAAATAGCCGGGGGGGAATTAGTACCCTTGCATGGCGCTTCGCGCCGTCGGCTCGGGGATAAAGAGTTAGAATCCCTTTGCCAAACTTAGTCACGCTTGTTACGTAGTTCCAGCAGGTCGCACATTTTACATTGCCTAATCAATCTTCTACGAGATTCTAAGCGCTATTGGAAATGCATTTGCATCCCCCGGGAAAGTCAGTTAGATCTACAGTGGTGGTTGGACTTCTTGCCATCTTGGAATGGACTCTATTTTTCGATCTTCCCGACTGGCCCTCCAGATTTTGAACTGTCCAGTGATGCTTCTGGAAAAAAGTGGTTTGGCATTTATAATAATGGCGCTTGGTTTTACAAAGCTTGGCTGCCAACTCAACAACCACTAGGCATGGCATATAAAGAAATTTATCCAATCGTGCTTGCATGCCACATCTGGCGTCACGCTTGGTTAAATAAGCGCATAAAGATTTGGTGCAATAACCAGAGCGTTGTACATATTACATGCTCTGGCACTTCAAAAGATGATAAGATCATGCACTTGGTTCACACTCTTTTCTTGATTACAGCTAAATTTAATTTTTGTGTTTGTGCTGCACACATCCCCGGTAAAAACAAACAAGATTGACAAAAGTGACAAATGACAAAAGTTCCATAGAAAAAAATTATTAGCACGTCGAGAAACGTATTTTAAACAAGACGTGAAATGACAAATTTTTCCACGAAGTGCCATGTTTTTTGCATTTGTCCTCTGAGCCGAGCCTAAACTATGCATTTTTACGCTATGCATGTGGTAAGATGATCGATAGGCCCAACAAGGGGCATTATAAAAAGTGGATAATTTCCCCGAAATTTTGAAAAAATAATTGAAAAAATTTTTGCCGTAAATCACCTATTATTCCCCATATGACCCCCTAAAACCATCAAAGTGCCTCTTATCCTGTTACTGGAATGTAAACACGTGCGATCGAAAAAAAGCTCCGAAAAATCACTTCTTTTGACCCCTTGGAAGGTAAGTTTCTTATAATTTTTCGTCAATATATGCTTTTAAGTAACCCAAGTCACTAATGGAATGGTTTTTTATTACAAAATGAACTTAAAAGGTCATGAATTATTAATATCGAATTTCATGTAATTTGATAGTAAAAAATGTACCTCTGACCTATTAATAAAAACTGGATGAAAATTGAAAAAAAAATTTTAAATTCCCAAAAATATTTATAAATCCTAATATAATTATTTCATTTCTTTTCTTTACAGATTTAATAAAATGTCACGATTTCTTGTGAATAACCCAAATCCTAGGGTTATTGAAGAATGCGCAGCCTAGGATGAAATTGATGTTGATCATATGGCATTTAACCAGGCAGTGTGTGACACGACCCGCAATGCATCATGGGATTTTGTTTGGGAAGCTATTTTAATGCTCATTTGCATTTAGCTGCCGTCGAGTAAATATCTCATCAATATTTATTTATGCCATAGGGGTATAAAGAATTTGCTTCATTTCCTAAAAGTGGTGACCGTGAAAGAATGCCTGAGCTCATTCAAAGGTCTTGTTGGCGCTGTCGATGCATCTTGTTGGATACACAAAGCAGTAGCTATTAGCTATAAACAGTTTGTGACGATCGAAGGTAAATAAACCTTTGCGAAGTTGTGTGTTTATTATATTATAAAGATTTTAATAAACTGCACAAGTTTTTAGTATACTTTATAATTAAAAATTAAGCCATTTTATCTAGGGTTCTTCAAATATGTGAGCTGTATTTAAAGCTTTTGAAAAGAAAAAACATAGAAGCAATAGCTGTGTTTGATGGATTGCCATTGCCAGGGAAGGAAGCAGAACGAGCAAGGCGAAGCAGGTAACAAATGCATTATAGCATTTCGCACACATTTTTAATACGAAGTGACTATATGACCGGCAGCCAGTCACGGTTTATCAAAATATAAAAATAGGTACGCGCTGCGTACATGTGGGTAGTCTGCATTAATTGTTGTTAAAGCTGGAGTGATACGCACAACAAAATTGCTGCAACAAAATCTGATTTCAACGCATTTTAAGTAGAAATGTTGACAAAACATTTCAATTAACATGCGCAGAAATCAGATTTTGTTGCAAGTTGCAGCAATTTTGTTGCCCATATTAGTATATTACTCCACCTTAATTGCTATTGTCAAATTCCGAATTTACTGAAAGAAAGTATTAAGTAAATTGAACACAGTTCAAATATTATACACACATTTAATCACATACTGAACATCAGATATGACAAAAATACATAAACGACTGTTACATGTATTTTTCAATAAGCATAAACAGATATAAGAAGTTACAAAGTATTTTAATGTGTCAAAAATAATTTGCACGCTGAACAGACAGAACAGTACAAGGTCTTTAATATGTATACGAAACAAAATACTTCACACGCCGAAATACAGACAGTACGAAAAACAGTTAAGACAAGAACAGTTCTTGTTCAAGGACAGCATACATCAAAGACAAAGGATCAGGTTTACAGGCTGCATATATACAATTTTTGTGAAGTTTGAGTTTCAAGGATAGTCCATGCAAAGATCTAAGGATGATGTTTTCCGGCGGAGTTGAAAAAGATCAACATATTCTTTATTTAGTGATGATTGAATTAATTAAACAACGACATAATCGATCCCATATATATTGGTAATGACATTCAACTTGCTTTCAATATTCGACAAATATATCCCAAAGACTTCGTGCGCTAATATTCCACTGCCTAATCCTTGTGTAAACTGTGCTTGGCTTTCTATTACAAACATTATGTAAGAAACGACATACTCGATTCTATATACCTATATGTTCGTCAACATTCCTTCGATATAGACCAACGTAAATATCTCCAATCATCACACGCTATATGATTAATTACTATATTTTTCTAATACGTATAAAATGTTTGATCAAACTGATATGTCGTGTTTAAATATCACATTACACGATATAAAACAGACCCTGTGCTCTAATATTAACTCCAATGACCTTTGTACAAGCTGTGAGGATACGTCTAGCCAACAGAAATGTTAGGATACGTCTAGCCAACAGAAAAAAAGCTAAATATCTACGACGAAACGGCAATATGAGCGAAGCCAACAAAGTACTTGCTGGGTCTGTGGAGGTCGATCATAATCTTACTCTTCAGTTTATACATGTGAGTTTTTAAATATACAAATTAGTTATTCAAACATTGGTTAATGTTTATACTTTATAAACGTTCAACTGTAGTTCATTGTCTTCTACGTATGTCGTGAGAATTCTGTACGATACGTAGTAGCTCCTTATGAGGCTGATGCACAAATAGCCTTCCTAGTTCAAAATGGACATGCTGATTTCGCTATCTCTGAAGACTCAGACCTGCTCATGTATGGATGTAAAAAGGTTATTTTCTAAACAGATTGTTAGCTTCTTTATCCTTTTAAGCAGGTTAAATGCACATGAATTGAAAGAGTTTTATTTCAATAAATATAACAGGAAATTTAATAGAATCGTTCTAATTTACATACACATATTATACTGAAGGCCTGTTTGTATTGTGCTTGCAAGTTATCTAGTAAACCGAGTCAGGGTCTGTTTATACAAGCCTGGTTTGCCGGGCTGGCCTGCTTAAATGAGGCGCCTGGCTTTATATGTGACAACTGGACCAGCCTGTTTAGCTGGGATCCCACTTGACTCAAACGGGGTGCCTACTTGACTCAAACAGGCTGAAATTTGTCCATGTAAAGTCACCAGCCCGGATAGCCAGGCCATGAATGACCAAGTGCCCGGATAACCGGGCTGACACAAAACCCTTGTCACAAAAATATTTATAGAAATGTATATTTTTCTGGATAAACTCTTATTTCTTAAGTTAATCTTGCTGATAAAGTAGTTTTTAATTGAAAATTTGTCCAATAGAGCATAATTTGACTTTTGTGAGAACCCTTAACTCGTCGTAAACAAGTTTTCCAGTCAATTTTCGATAGCTAATGTTTCAGCCCGGCTTATGTCTCATCCCGGCCAGCCGAGCTCATGTAAACAGCCCCTTATTCAGAGTGAGTTCCTGCTTGGCTGCAACAAATAGTTTTCATGTTTGCCTGTTTTATAGCATGGTAGGCACACATGAAGGCAGTTATGAACTTTATATCCCCATGTTTTTTGCTCAAATTTGTTTCTTGTTTATCTTAACTTTAGTTAATACCGTACTAACCCATTGCATAAAAATGGGTTAATGCTGTATTAATTTTATTTTAATAATTTCCTGTGAAATTGTTGAAATGGATATAGTGCTGGCATATTTGGAAGTGAATAAATTGGCTTTTCTCAACATATGCATAACAGCAGGATGTGATTACCTCCCAAATGTGAAAGGTGTTGGAATTAACAAGGCCAAAAAAAACTGGTGAAAGAGAATGATTTTCTTCATCGTTTGATTCAGATTCCAGGTGCCCCGGAAGGATATGAAAATCAGTTTGTTTCAGCTTGTGCTGTTTTTCAACATCAGACCATCATTAACCCTGATAATTTGACAACTATGCCTGTGCCAATGAATGGTATGGAATGAAACCTTCGATGATGACACAAAGGCAAACTTGCAAAAGTGCTGTGGAGCGTATCCTTTCTCACTTGTGTGGGAGTATGCAATGTGTTATGATAAATGATTAAAAAGCAACTGATAGAGTTAATTAAGCAAAGGGAATTAGTGATGAAAGAAAACGACAATGTTACAAACACATTTCCCAGCCCAGCTCAGGTAAAAATACATCAATTGGTCACAACTGATATCAAAATAAGCTCACACATTAAAACATAAACTTAGAAACACAACTCCATAAGCAGATAGAAAGGCAGGGGCGTCACAGGTACATGGAAGTAATGGATATCAGATTTCACTCTACCATAAATCCTGCATTGTCCTATACCACCAACACTTTTAATACATCACCACTTAATAAAGAAATATCTGATTAGTCAATTTCCTAGCATTTCAAGTATTTTTTACTTATTCATATTTCACTTAAATATTACAATATATTATGCTCATCACAGTAAGCTTGTTCTTTTAGTGGTTATTGCAAATTTATTGGCACCAATGATCTGGTTGAGTTGCAACACAAAATTTAACTAGGGATCCAAGGATAGTGTGAAGTTTCAAATTGAAAAAGACACTGCAAGAACTATATAGGGTTGCCGACAACCTAGAAAGGCTGATGGCTTACACTACGAAATAAACAGTTACCAAAGGCATTTCATCTCATTATCTATTTTATAATGCGTTCTGCACATGAGTAGCGCCACGTTTGAAACAAGCCTAACAGATCAGAAACGTGCCTCGTGGAACTGATACAATTTATTTATTTATTGTGATGCTACACGCGACAACTCGAAATTTAAATCGTTTCACCAACACCCAAATTTTGCATATTCTAAAACTTCATTTGCCTTTGCAGCTGTCACTAAAAGCATCCTAACGAGGCTACTGATACGCTGAACTTATCTAATATGATTATTTCCATCACCCAAATAGCTGTATAAGATATGTTATGAATAATAAGCACTGTGACGTATCATTAAAAGAACGCATTTTATCCCCCATCCGTTCTATATTTTATCCCCATATCCGTTCTGTGGATCCGCTCCATCCGCTTCCACATTTTAACCTAATTGTGACCACCGATCTAAGGGGCCGATTACATGGAGGTTTTCAGCCCGGGATGAAATTTCAGCCCGGGGGCCCTATAAATTGAATATAAAATGAATTTTACGATTACATGGAAAAAATTTCAACCCGCGGGCTGAATTTCAGCCCGGGTTGAAATTTTCATCCCGGTTTATGTCACCCGGGATGAGATTTTCAGCCCTGTCAACCGGGATGAAATATCCCATGTAATCGCAAGTAATTTCAGCCCGGACTAAAAAAACAATCGTTTAAATGGCTTTATTTCGCGTTTTGTCTCATCTTTAATACTTTATATGCAACCACAGTCTTACACAAGTCAAATAGTCCACTTATCTTTCGTGATATCGTATGATTTCAGCCCAGGATGACATTTCAGCCCAGGTTTGTTTACTACAAGGGATAAATATAGCTCTGACTAAAACTCAGCCTGGGTTCAAATTGCCCATGTAATCGTGATGCTATTTCAGCTCGGTTAACTGGGCTGAAATGCTGAAAACTCTCCATGTAATCGGCCCCTATAAATTGTGACATGTTTCACAATAACAAGTCTGATTGACCTTTGACTTTATATTCCCAATGGCAATGTCATATTACGTTTGATGAGTCATTTTCAGCTTTTCGCATGTATTCAATAATGTCACTTTAGATTTCAATAGTTTCACAGTTATAGCAGTGTTTATAGCAGTGTTTATAGCAGTTTTAATAAGCTTTGATACGGCTCTGTGTACAGATTGATTCTCGTAGGATCTGGTAGAGTTATCGTTGCACTGAACACGAGTTTACACTGTTGACGTTGTGCTAGACACTAAACAAAGTAAGTCCGTGACGGTACACGTTGGCTACCTCCTTGCTTTTTTCTTCTAGTTCTATTGCATAAAGCTTGTTGGGAAGCCAAGCGATTGGCGATAACACGTTGGCTATATGAACTCCTCGTCTTTCAGAGCTCTGCAGACTCAACTGATTTCTTTTAGTCTCGATCACAACTCAAGTTATTTTCTTCGTATAAAACGCCATACAAACACCCGCTTCTGTTTAATAGTTGTTTACGCTTTGTCTTATGCAATTTTTGCTCTTTCGCCTCTTTGTACTGAGTGTAGCCATCTATTCTGTGGTGTAGCACCTTATACAGCCAATGTGGCCAATGTATAATTATAAGTAATATCATGAAATGAGGAGTATTAGTCATTAAACCACCCGCTCGACGAGGGTCATTTATTAATTTTAATAAATGACCCGAGTCGAGTGGGTGGTTTAATGACTAATACTCCTCATTTCATGATATTACTTTGTAATATTATTTTTGCATGAATTTCACCCAAATCAGTGTTCAGACACTGTCAATGATGTTGGCGGAGCGTTATAAGACGTTCTGTACTGAAGAGAATGTTGTGGCTTGTCGGAAAGATGAAATACCAAAAAATACCAGAAAGCACACATCTTGGGGCGTAAATGTCTATAAAGACTGGGCGAAAAGTCGAAACGAAGCGTTCAAAGATTTTCAGCCGGATAATCGGAAATTTCCTATAGCTCCAGAGGATCCTTCTTTGTTAAGCGTGGACGAAATAAATTATTGGTTGTCGAAATTTTGTGTTGATGTGAGACAAAAAAACGGCGAGGAATACCGACACAAAGTGCTTTACTCCCTATTCTGTGCGCTAAACCGTGTCATTCGGGAATCACACCGTAACCTTGTGCTGTTTAAATCGCCAGAAGTAAAACCATTTCAAGACGCTCTGGATGGGCGTTTGAAGGCTCTACAGTCAAGACAAAATCCCTTTCGTAAGAAAGCAGATGCGGTTAGTGTGAACGAGAAAGAAAAACTTTGGATTACGGGCACTTTAGGGACTCATTCACCTGGTGTTTTGCTCGATACATTGGTGTTTCTGGCCGGCAAGATTTTTGCTTTATGGGGGTGGGCAAGAGCATCGAAGCTTAACACAGGAGAGCTTTGAATTTGAGACTATGGAGGATGGAAAAACTATTGTTACCTATCGGGAGAAAAGTTCCAAGGTTAACCAAGGCAGGCTGAAGAGAAGGAAAATTACCCCTAACGAAGTCAAACATATTGAAGATGGCAATGATCCAAAGTCATTTACTTTTGTATTCAATTTCTACATGTCAAAATGGTAATTATAGTCTGCAAAGTGCAAGTGCATTGAAGTGTTAAAGTTAGTGAATTCTATTAAGTTCAAATTCAAAATGTGTTTACGACACGCTCTGTTAACATATTTCTTTGTGTAGTCCTTTAGATGCAGATAGCTCAAGCTTGTATTTGAAGGCGAAAACGAAATGGTGTTTTGGAAACGAATCATGGTATGAAAACCGACCAGTTGGGCGCAATACGCTTGCATCGACTTATAAAAGAATTTGCAGTTTGGCTGGTCTCGAGGGGCATTACTCAAATCATTCAGGAAGGGCGACAGCTGCTACAACACTTTTGAAAGCAGGTATTCCTGACAAAATGGCGTTGAAAAGAACTGGTCATCACAGTTTGGAAAGTCTACGGGAGTACCAGACTTTAGATATAGATGATACGAAACGGGTATCAGAGGCGTTGAGCTCGTGTAGTTCTGCAGATACGTGTGTAATAAATGAAACATCTGTAGAATCAAAAGTTGTGCATGAAAGTAATTTGGATTGGGTTGAACAATTTAATGAGGAATCAGATTTATGTGACGTTATATTAAGTCAGGCGTTAGACGTGTATGAAAGTAATTCTAGAAGTGAACCATCCTATAATAATACTTTAAATGGTTTGTTCTGTAATGCTAATATTGGGACGGTAAATGTCTATATTAGCAAGTAATGATAACAATTAAATGTTTGTGTGTTTTTCAGTGCATAATTTTGTGATAATTTTGCTCAAACTTTCCAGGTGATGTGGTAATACTAATACGACCCGTAGTGACGTTAACTGAGGTCGTATTAGTTCTAATACGACCTGTACATTTGAGTAGGCGAGTAAATTAGTTACTAATACAGAACAATAGAAATTCACGCAAACATGATATTATGAATACATAAATGAATACACAGCCTAAACAATATATCTTCTGGCACTAAGTGGGCGCCGGCTAGCTCCTTGCTAGGTCTGTAAAATGAATATACCGTCTAAATAATATCGGCACTTAATTGAATGCATAACATCAATTTATATATTGCTTAGATTCTCGAAGAATTACTCAATATTCACGTCTGAAATGTTTATATATTTGAAAACAACACTCTCTCGCTCTTTCCTGCCTCCGTATAATGGGTATACCGTGAAAATAATATCGGCACTCAATTGAATGCCTAGAATCTCAAAGATTTTCGACTCAATATTTACGTCTGAAATGTTTAATAATAATATATACACTTGAAAAAAAGCACTGTCCTAGCTCCTTGCTAGGTCTGTAAAATGAATATACCGTCTAAATAATATCGGCACTTAATTGAATGCATAACATCAATTTATATATTGCTTAGATTCTCGAAGAATTACTCAATATTCACGTCTGAAATGTTTATACATTTCAAAACAACATTGTCTCGCTCCTTCCTAGCATCGTTAGCATCATCACGCCATCGTGATCTACGGCTTGATAGCGTATGCGCATTTGCGCTGCTGAAGAAAAAATCGGGTGTTCCGGGGTAAATATCCTTTACACAACATGAGAAGCGCATGTTATAAAATTTACAATAACGACAACAATTCCTCAAAATATTTATAAACTTGGCAAAACTTGACAAAACGCTTAAAGAATATTTAAATAAGACAACTGAAATTGCCTAAATAACCTTCAAAGCACAGACTAAGTACGATAAATCACTACGAACATATACCGTATACACCCCCCGGAAAGTTTACTGTATGACTGACTGACTGACTGACTGTTTCGTTTGAATTTCCCCCCAGTCATCACAATACTGTGAAGTTTCGAAGAAACTTCACACTAAAAATGCTATTCTAAGACAGTTCAACTATGGATTAAATGCTTTCAACTTTGAAGTAGCGATGTTAAATATGATGTACATGTGTGTTACTTTTAACACTGCTGTGGGCAATAACATGTGAATTATTGTTTTTTTTTCAAGGCACAACTGTGGCTTTTACAGCGGAAAATGATGACCATCAATACACTTGATGAGGATATTATCACATCGATTGTCCCATCGTTTCCAATCCTTGATATCACCTTTAGGAGAGGTATCGCAATGATAAAAGGCGACAATCAACATGTGTTGTTCAATGCAGAAGACGCTGTACGACTAGCTGCACAAGAGAAAATTGTTGGTACTAAATGGTGCCATATCACTATTGAAGAAACTAATTATTTGGTTGTGTGGAAATTTGAAATTCTTACGGGTGAACCAACTGTGGCAAATCAAGATCAGGCTACTGCTGGAGATGAAAACACTAAACATACTCTGCCATTTAAAGTTCTGGGAGTGTCCTACAAGAATAGGCAAATTCATTTAAAATGTGTTAGTGAGAAACTGAAGAGAAACGAAGAAGTACAGATTATGATCAAACCTGAGCCAGATAATGACCACGACAAATGCAATTGCTGTGCTTCTAATTTGTGGAACTTGCTGGAAAACAGTTGGCTATATTGCAAGTGAACTTACAAAACACTTACATCCCCTAATAGAAAGTAACAGCATAAATATCACAATAGCCCACATTCGGTTTCGAGTAACCTATATGTTAACAGGTTACTATTTAACTATTAACATAACCCGGAAAGGACAGTGGTGTTCTCAAGTTATTACAGCTTCAAAAAGTGTAAAGTAACTACACAGTAGTAAATAATAGACAGATTTAGATCGAGGATGCGGACGTCAAAGACGACATGAAAATGGCGTGGCATATACGGGGGCACAACATGCCATTTTCACATCGTCTTAGACGTCTGCGTCCTCGATCTAAATCTGTCCAATAATAGTATGTTGGGAGAACAGGTGGCAGAAACAGTTAATGCACTGCCTCTTACAACATGTAGGTTGAGAGCATGGGATTTACTTCAGTAGAGTAAATTTTGTGCACTTAAATATACTTACAGTATGTAAGCAGAGTTTGGTTGGTTCTCTCCTGTGCTTCATCCCTCACTAAAACTAACAATAGACCTTAGAAGTGCTTATGTCACACCAGTGACAAACAATGAATTGCAATGCAATGTGGGACACATGTAGGAAAATATCCTAATGTTTATATGTATTCCAAACGGTGTGACATAATCACTTCTAAGGTCCATCAGGCATTAATTTTGATGACCTGAATATAGGGTTAACCTCGAGGTCAACTTTTTCAAATAATGTAACTATTTGGATAAAGTATTATTATAATGTTCTTGTTTATTCAGTTTTGTTCATTGAGTAGCACTTTCATGTATTGTCAATGGTGGTAGCCTTTCTGCATCTCTATGGAAGGACGCTCTTGCTGTCAACGAATTTCTTTGTGGCAGTGATGCACGGTTTGCAACAAACACACCAGGGTTGGACCGACGGGATATCTTGGTTTTATCCAGCCTCTCGACTTTACCGGATGTTTCATTAAAAGAAGGAAGGGGCTCTGAAGTGTATCCATGTTTATGACCAGTCCAATAATAGAAACTCAGATCAGGGTCGATCATCTTTGTAAATTCGCTCAGCAATTTAGGTTGCTGTTGCAAGAAAGTCTGGTGATCGAAAACATCCCCCAAATGGCCATGAAGAAGTGAGAAAAAGCCTTCAACGTTGTCGGTACTGCTTGCACAGGGGTGTTCAGGTGATATTCCTCTGTTAGCGTACTCTCGTCTTCGCAATTCCATACTTTTGCAATTCGCAATTAAAGCAACAACGATTTCCCTTGTGAAGCCTTGAATTCCCTTTATCGGTCTTAAAACATCGAGTGTGGCAAAATTTCTGTCCTCTTTCCACCAGGGCATCCAGTCATCTAGTATGAAGTTAACCATTTCCGTGTTGTATTTCGATCGCAATTCTTCAGATATCACCCGTCCATCTGCAGCTTTGTGCCAATTTGCGTACAACTTCAACAAAACGAGCCTCTGATATATGACCTTTCCTTTCAAGAAAGTCAAGTACGCCCTTCGGAGAATATTTGCTCGCAGTGTGGTACAGATTGCTTCTGTTTTCCTGTCAGAGCTTCGTACGTAAGCCCAGTACATTGATCGGAACGTGCATCTCGAAAACAGCATAAATCTATGTTCGGAATCGTACCAGAATGAAGATGCTCAGTTATCCTCTTCAGTACATGGCAATGATCTTCCCTTTCGTGCATGAATTTATTCGCTGTGTCGCATGTTTCTGGTTGATATAGATGGTTGTTGAAATCAACTTGGTATTCATGATTAGCATCTTTATCTTTTCGCGAAACAAATAGGTTACCATCAAAGACTTGAGGCAATCATTCGAACTTTCCTCTTTACCTGCAAAATCATATAAAAGTATCTGTTTTAACAGATACTTAAAACAAAATCATATAAAAGTATCAAAATCATATAAAAATATCTGTTCTAAGAGATACTTAAACTTAAAAGTTTTCTATCCTGCCTGAGCATCTTATAATCTCGTTTATCTGTGGGTTTATATAAATCTTTGTCCAACTAGTACTGGCATTTTCTGGAGCATTCACAAAGGAAAGGGACAAACATATTTTCACATAATTTTCGTTATGTTTGAGTCAATTCCAGGAGTAACCATCCCGGGAACACACCTGGACATTAGATTTGATTGGTTACGATAGTGTAAATGCCCGGGTGCCGGGACACAACTTGAAGACTAATGCACAGCCCTTGGGCAAGCTGAAAGTGGAAAATGTCCCACCCTGGGGACGATTTTAAACATTAATTAAACTTTTAATGGCATATAATAGCATAGTCATTTAATAACATTATAGTATTAAACTGCTATGGAATATTATAAAACTTTAATATAAACTTGAATCTTGCTAAGAGTGGCTAAAAGTATTTAAACAATGAAATCATAAACCTTCAATAGTTGTACTTAAATTTGCACGGCACAGGTTATAATTTTCACTTATTCTGGCAATACATTTTACGCCACAATATTCGCTGTGTTGGTGTAATGTACTCAGGTGAACAATATGCTTGTGTGATGTTACTCTGAGTGTATATCCACACTGGGCAGGCTTGAAAAATATGCCTGGCCATGGTGGGATTCGAACCTACGACCTTTGGAATACTAGCCCAATGCTCTGCTAACTGAGCTACACGGTCAGGTCAGTTCGAATATGTGATATTTCGGAACCAAGTCTAGTTCCTTCGATATCAGTGTTCACCTGAGTACATTACACCAACACAGCAAATATTATGATTATTAGATTACACTGATATCGAAGGACTTCGTAGCTCAGTTAGCAGACCGTTGGGCTAGTATTCCAAAGGTCGTACGTTCGAATCACACCGTGGACAGGCATATTTTTCAAGCCTGCCCAATGTGATAACACTCATAGTAACATCACGCAAGCATATTTTATGCCACCTTGACCACGAGGGCGCAAAATACGATCAGCATGCCCAGTTGTGTGCCTGAAACTAGGTTTTGCTGCCTTAAAATTTGCGGGTGGGATTCTGGGCAACCATTTTTGTCAAATCCCTGGGGTCCTTAGGGACTATAACAATACCCGGCCCCCGTGCACGTACATGAAATGATGAAAGGCAAATTCCCAACCCAGTGAATTGTCTATCAGGCAAATTCCCGGGGGTGTCCCGGGGGGGGAGGGGGGGGATGGTTACTCCAGGAATTGACTCGTGCATTAGCTTGGCAACTTCATATTTGTAGTTTTGACTCCACAAATAGATGAGAACTACACATTTTGTGTAGAACTGCATATTTAAAACCCCTGACTTACAACTTTCTACCCTCCCCCAATTTTTTATCCAATTTGAACCAATCCAATTTTTGATCTGAAAAACATTGGTGGGGGGCCGCCCCCTGTGACACTGCTTATAGTACTTCTATACTAATCGTACATATATTAAAACAATTAAATTATACCTGCTATCCATGGATGAGGGTCATAATGAAAGGGAAACATCTTTCTTCTCAAAATGTGAATGGCTTATCAAATGCAACCTTTGTGCCATTTTCTGGATTCATGAACTCATACAACCAAATAATATCATCATGTGGGACAGCTTGATGAGTCAAAGCAGTTGTAATACTTGGACAGCCATCCACACCTGAAAAAAAAAAGGTTTAAATCTTTGTGAGTCTGACAAAATAAACAGGCTTCATGCTCCAGAACATACCTAGTAACCGAATTGAAATACTCGAGCTTCATCTACAGCAGTACAAAAATCCTTTCAGTAATGTTATTTTCCCCAAAATGCATACAGCATTGGCATTGTAGGACAGTCATGACATACCAAAAGGAAATTAAAAATTTAAACCTGTTATATCATAGCTTTCCGTTTGTGTTGTTACGTGTGTCATTTGCCAAAAACTAAATAAAATACTGTACCTGGCAATTGTAAAGGTGTTAGATATTTCCTTATGATTCTAACATCAGTTGCACGAGCTTCAGCTTTCGCTTCCTTAATTATTTCTATTGTAGAAATAGGCCTGTGTGTTCCCATGGTCCGAAGCGAGTTAAATTCACCATCTGTGACAAAGCCTGTAAGGATATATGAAGCAGTTTGTAACTTTCATATGAAATTTCTGCATATTGTATATTGATAGTACAAGGTTTAATTAATCAAGTTTTTTCGGATATTTTTGACTTTGCCTCTTGGGTAAAAAGTTAGGCTTAACGTTTGGAGGCTATCATGAGTGGAAAAACAATCAAGGCTCGATATTTCAACTTTTTCTTAAACAATGCAACCAAATAGACTAGTCAATAGCCATCTGGTCTGGAAACTTGGCTAAAGTGCGTGTTTGTGCTATCTTTTTCTGTGCGCTTATGCAGTTTTATGCAAGGTCAATAAATGCATTGTGTCTTAGTATAATGAATTAGTGATCCAATAGAAACGTTTAAGTTAAATTATTTAACCTATTTAAATATTGAACAACCTAAAAGAGAATTATATAAATTTAATATATTAGCCACAGGCATTAAGGTACATTAGGCACATTTGCCTTTTATTGGGATGTACTTGGCAGAACTCATTTTCAGGTTTGAGCAACAACAGAAGCCTAATTCAATCACAGTGTGCAAGTGGTTCTGTTTTACTCAAGCACACATGAATTTATTTTTTTCATATCAATAATTACATATTAATTAATATTATATGTGTTTTAAAAACTCACCAACAGTCATTCCTAGATTGACCATGCATTTTCTTAGATCGCCAAACAATTCTCTGAGTTTTGCATCAGTAACACTGTGATATGGCAAGAATTGAACTGGCAGAGCATATGGTTTAAAATTTCTTTTCTTATCAGCAACCATTGAAACCATCATATGGGATGCTGCTTCTCTTTTCTTTGGATAAAGGGATTGAACATACTTCAAAAGGCTGTTACGAAAATGCCCAACATTTTTTTTGGACATTACCAGCAATGAATTTCTTAGCAATCTGCTCTGAATGTTGCAAGCTGTTGACTTTAAATATTTGTTCATGCCAATAAGTGTTTTGAAGCCTTCACATGTCCAAGCTAAGGCAAACAAGCTATCTTCAGATGTATTCAACTGCTTCTGCTTGGTGGAGTAGCTTTTATAAGCTTCTTTTTCACCATCTTGTAAGAATTTTAAGTCCTTGTCCAAAGCAGAAATAACTTTACTGAGATCATCATGCAAGTTGGGTTTTCTGTTCTTCACTCCAAGACCTTGATAGAAATTCCTTCTAGAAGTATATTCTTTGTAAAGAGCATCTAATTTACCATCACCTAGATCACAATCTCCTGACCACTCATGATGCATTGACTCTTTTAGCCTCTGACATAGGTCACACACGTCTGCTTTAATCCACCATCGACCACCTTGGTCGGCACTAGATCATAGACAAGATACGCACATATCTGAAACTGCAATACATACGAGTCAGCGGTATTCCATATTTAAAATTCAAATAAATTAGTGCGAAACCAAAGCAATATGGCTTCCATCGAAGAGCAGAGCCGAGTATAGCGATAGTGACCGGGTGCTTGTTTGCGCTTCACAAGCAGAAATGCTTGAGAAATTTGAAGAGTACAAAATAAAAACAAGTAGTGGTTGGAGATGTATCAAATTAAACGCACTTTTTGGTACGTGAACTAATTTCAATATATGTAAATTTGTCTTATAAATATTCATACGAATACCGTGTGTGCAATATTTATGAAAGATCCAAATTATGCATACATAAAACCTTTATCGATTTACTGCAGTACTACACTCATATAATAATATAGTATGTCTTTATAAAGGTCGAAAGATGCATGTGCTTTAGAATTATATAGTAAAACTCACTGGATAAAAACCTTTCATAAGGGACCACTCATTAATAATGGGAAGAGGGAGGGGGGGGGTGGGGCGGTGGATGATAGATACCAAATACTGAACATTTTTTAGAGCCGCCCCAATCGCAAGACCTTTATTTTCAAGATGCCCCCATCTTCATTTAGAAAATTTAGGACCCCCCTCCAACATTTAATTGTTACTTAGTTGGTGTAAAATAGGTAGTATTAAAAGTATTAAAAATTTGGGGTCACCCCTTGTCACATATTTTGAGGACACCCCCAATTCAGGCAAAAATAGTTGAAGCTGCCCTGCCCCATCTTCTCACCCACCGCCCCCCCCCCTCAGTGGCATAACGCTCACTAGGTAGGGTTAGTTCAAAAACTAAGGGCCCCCGACAGTTAGGGCCACCCATCAGTCACGGCCTATCATCCAGAAAATTAGACTGAAAACGTAAAAAATGCAGGTAATTACGAATCGATGGAAAAATACAAAATTAATAATGCTAAATAATAAACCCTCCATCGATGACGGTATTCCATCTCAAATAGAACAAAAGTTATTCTTAAAAGTTGTTACATGTGTTGGAGACTGTTATTATCATTGTTATAAACACAGAATTTTCCATATTCTACTGATAAATATTCAATTTAAATTTTAGATCTCAGTCAAACAGTAACAGTCAACAGGGCCCCCACACCAAAATGCCTAAGGGCCCTTCTTCCTCCGTTATGCCACTGGCCCCCCTCCCATTATTAATGACCAGTGGTCCCTAATCATTCATTATATACATTTCATACAATTTCATATTAATATATACATGACTACTTTTCAAGATACATCAATAAAACCCAATAAACAGAAAGTCAGAAACAAGTGCTAACACTACAAATAAATGGTAGAAATACACAACAATGGAAAAAGGCTTTCATTCAATTATCTGCCAGTATGATATTCACATGCCTATTATATGATGTTAAAATGTATCATCTTAGGCCCTGTTTACATGAGCCATGCAGGCTAGCCTGCCTTGCCAGAATAGAAATTGTTATCATATGAGTCAGGATCTTGGCTAACCAAGACACTGAAGACAAGCCTGGCTAACAAGGCCAGCTTGAGTAATCTAATGTCCATTTTATGTACTATATATGCATAATCACTTCATAGTCTGCTATAGCACAACATATTTCAATAATTATTAACCCAATAATTATTAACCCAACAATTTCTAACAATTATTGATTGACAACAATCATTTTATTAAAATATTGATTATTTTAACAATTATTTTATTAATAACAATTATTTTATTAAAATATTGATTCTCTTCATTTCTGAAATCTAACATTGATCATGTGGCAGTCCCACTTTATGCTTTGTTGCAGGCAAAGAAGCATCCAACTAGTCTTTGACACCCTAGTCTGTTTTTAATGTTGTTAATATTAACTCATTAACTGGCAATGTGAATGTGCCCAAATGTGCCGTACTTAGTATTTACTCTGTCTAATGCCAGACGATTAATTACTCATCAGTGGTAGAGTACTGCCAGTAAATGGGTTAAAGTGAATGTTAAATATGAATCAAGTTGAAATCAGTTGTAATAACTAATTGATTCATTAACCCATTAAGTTGCAAGACTCCACTTGATGAGTAAAATCATCTAGCGTTAGACAGAGTAAAGATTTATTGTGTTATCTGCCGCTGTTGGAAGATCTTTTCCTTGAACATTTTACTAAAGATTTACTGTGTTATCTGCTGCTGTTGGAAGTTTCTTTTCCTTGAACATTTTACTAAAGATTTGCTGTGTCATCTGCTGCTGTTGGAAGATCCTTTTCCTTGAACATTTTACTAAAAATTTACTGTGTTACTGTGCATAATTTCTAGTAAAATATAAGAAAAATTCAAATGTTGTATTTCCAAAAATATGCACTCAGACTTTGTGGACCCAGGGGGAGGGACAGCTTAATCAAGGCATACAAAAGTTAGATGTACGCAGGACGAAACTTGAGGGGGGGGGGGGTATGGGGGATTGTGACACCCCCCAAAGTACGAATCATCTGGATTGGCAGGGCGAATCATCTGGATTGGCAGGGCAATCAAAAATTTTAAATGATAGAATGTAGAGTTATTAAGTAACTTACAGGGATTTATAGACCCACATTTTACAGATATTGGTCCAAAAATAAGGGTTTCATGCATGTTTTAAAAGGAATTTGTACGGAAAAAAATTTTTGACCCTTAATTTGACTGGTTTATGTCCGGAAAACTTTTTTCAACCTATCTCACCCCCCCCCCGGCTCGCCAACATTTTTGTGAAAAATAGTGGCCCAAAAAAAATTAGCTGCAGGGCATCATCGGCTTTTGCAGGGAAATTCTAGCAGACACCCCTTAATTAAAATGGGCTAGTTTCGCCCCTGGATGTACGGGGGGGGGGCAACATTTTCTGAGAGGGGTCCCTCCAGCTCTGGCTAGGTTACTGTATAGTATTCCCTAAAGCAATAAAATATTAATATTTCTAACTAATAATTATTACTAATTATTAGTAAATATTTATTATTTATGTTGCTCTAATAGTCAATTAGCCAAGTCAGACTACATGATTCAAATCCTAATGGGCCAATTGCACAAGGCAGATTAATTTAAAAGAGTGACTAACAGACTATTAAACAGTGATGCGACGATAGTTGGGTTTCAATCTGAATCATGTGACACTTTAGCACTTGGTGGTCAACTCCAAAAGGAAACAGTAACACAGTTATTGGATTGAGTTCATTATTCATAATTCATTATATTAATTCACCTTGTATTCAATAATCAATAGCAAATACAGAACATTTAACAAAATTTGCTCGCTTCCACAAGGCATATTTATTTATTTATTTAAATAAAAAAAATATATATATAAAAGCAAATATAAAAGCGACAAACGTGCAAAGTTGACCACCATGTGTTTTCCTATGAATATGTCACCAATATTATTAAATACTATGCCACATGTGGGCTATATTTTTCCCTTGGAAAATTCCCTTTAAAATGATTTTTAAATTAACCCCAAATAGGTAATAAAAGTAAATATATATTTCGCTTTACACATACCTATTTATCGATATAACAATCTTTAAATCTCCATTTGTAATGATTTGTTTATTTGTAATGCATCATTTGTAAATGTAATGATGTCTTTATTGCGTTTATATAAAGTTTACTGCACTTGAAATACCGCTGACTCGTATGTATTGCAGTTTCAGATATGTGCGTATCTTGTCTATGATCTAGTGCCGACCTGAATTTCAGGTTATGGAAATGGCGTCATTTTCACTCAAAATCCGCCATGTTTTTGGCTTCACTTGGTTGACTGAACGAAGTATAGGAGCAGGTCCTCCAGTTATTATACAGCTCAGTGGTCACACATGGTCAGACCGCGACTCTTGCCTGTCGCCATATTTCATATTTGCGAATATACAAATCGTTTGCTTCTTTATCGCGGGAATATTTGAATATTTATTACTTCTCAACGCAGGAATACTTAAAGATTAAGTCAAGGAAGGTATGTACTACACAATTGCTATTTATTTCTCCAGAAGAGAGAGTACAATCTCGTCTCAGGACTATATTATTGTAACGGAATTTTATTTTGCTGTTTTACAACTCGTGTATAAAATACATGAGAAACATTTTGTCTTGAGTTAATACAGTAACAATTCCACAGGATGTTGGCCACTCTGCAACTGAACTCTTTTGCATCACAAGCCAATCTCGTCATCCGCTAGCGGGTGACGGCGAGAAATTTTTATATCCTCGGTTCAGTGCATGCTATGAAGACAGAAATACCACCATTCGATTCAGAAATAAAAGATTCAACTAATTCCTCCCTATAGTTATAGTCATTATCAACATTGTAGCGATTTATGGGCCTTTGAAGTCAAACAATATAATATTGTATCAAATTACGCAATTGTCTGAACAAAAATATAGACTATTCATACCTTTCGCCGAAATAAACTTCGGCCCCTTCGAACATATCGTCTTTGTAATAGTCTTGTTCGAATCCCCATTAAATAGTGTTTTTGGAGTGTTATTTGCAATCCTGAATCTACAAATCTGTATTTTTTATCAATATATTTCCATTTTTTGTCTGACTGTGAGCTCGAAGTGAATAATAAAAAAACAATAAAATAAAATAAACAATAAAATACTAACACCACGACAGTTTGGTTTCAGACCTAAACTTTCCACTGAGATTGCGCTTGCACATTTCACGGACACCATTTTGGCTAATATGGACAAGGGTTTAGTAACAGGAGCTGTTTTTCTTGACCTGGCTAAATCCTTTGATACTGTCGACCATTCTCTTTCATTTGAAAAGCTTGCCTCATCTGGTCTCTCCAATGATTCTGTCAACTGGTTCAAGTCATACCTAAGCAATAGAAATCAACTTACCGCCCTGGCTAACACTGTTTCCTCCTTCAAACACGTTCCTGTCG